AGGCAGGCCCACCACTGTGTCTGTCTGGCTAGGAAAGGCCAGGGTTTTTTTTTGTTTTTTTTTTTTCTTGAGAGCACGAAAGGTCAAAAAGAAAGTGAAGGCCCTCTTGTAACTGCCACAGAAATCCCAGTTGTGTCTGTTTGTGGGAAGTCCTGTTTGTTCTGACTCTGAAGATGCCTACCTACCCCTGGTCTATTTTAATAGTTCTTTCCTCCATGGCTTTCACCTCTGCCAATAGTCACACCAGGATAATGAGGGACAATGCAGAGGATGCTTGCTTATCTAAAATCTGACTCTCTTCATCTTCCCATCCAATGTTAGTCCCTGGGAGTAATGAAACAAAACACAAAGATCCCATGGAATGGAAACCACAGTCACAAACTGGTGGACACGCTCTTCTTGACCTTTCATGTTCTTTTGGAGAACTGTTTTTTCCTTTCCCAGAAAATGTCCCTTCCAAATGTGCCTCTTTGGTATAAGGATGATTTTGAGCTGAGGTACCTAAGAAGAAAAAAATAATCAACAAAAAATTAAGTAGTCGCTGTCCTCACCCTTCTTTGCAAAAAAAAAAAAAAGAAAGAAAGGAGAGAGAGAGAGAGAGAGAGAGAGAGAGAGAGAGAGAGAGAGAGAGAGAGGAAGAAAGAACAAACCATAAAACCAGGGCCCTCCTGGTATTAAGGTGCCCTCCTCCACATGCTCTGAAGTCAGAGTCGTTTACTGGAGGCAAGTTTGGGCACTTCCCAGCCTCCAGAGGGCACCAGAGGAACTTTGTGAAAAGCTCTATTAACCAGCCTTTTTTTACCTGCTCATTCCGCACACATTTGCCTGCCCTGCTTACTGCTGTCAGTTGAGACTCACCATCCTTTCATACTATGTTACAACTTCTCTGAAACTCCATTGTTCCCTGATGAAGTGCTGCTTTAGAGTTCTAAGCCACCCTATCGAGACTTGTTCACTCACTGGTGTCTCCTATGCATGTGCATGTATGAAGTCATACGCGAAGACAAATTATTTTTCTCTTCTACTCTATCTTTTATTATTAGGTTCCAGCTAAGAACTTAGGAAAGTGATGGGGGAAACTCTTTCTCACGAATGAGGCCTCCCACTTACAAGGTGGTCACCACATACACTTCCACTAGAAAATAGTTAAAAGGCACTCCTTGACCACTATGACCCTCCTTCATCATTTCTCTCCACCCACTGAATAGTCACGGTCTGTAATTCTTCCCCATTGGGTGCTGGTGGGCTGTGGGCTGAAGTGGAGTTTAATGAGTGAGTATGAAGGACTTTGTAGACCACAAGGACACGTCATACACCAGCCTGCTTTGCAAGCATTTCCTTTGGGGACAGTTCTTAACCTCTGAGACTAGTGGACTCTTGTGACATTAAAACATTTTGTTGTTGTTTAAAGAGTCTTTTGAATTTTAAATTATGTGTATGTATGTGCTCCCCTTCTCGTGTGTGTGTGTGTGTGTGTGTGTGTGTGTGTGTGTGTGTGTGTGTAAAAGTGTATGTGCCCTTGGAATTTAGGAGAGGACATCAGATCCCCCTAGAGCTAGAGTTGCAGGCTCCTGGCTTCAGACACACAGTCCATCATGTGTACACTTGAGTGGCATGGTAACAGCCCATAGCAGCAGCAGTATTTGGTGGCTCATTCATATCATGGTGGGCAGGACAACAGAAAGCTAGACCAGAACTGGATGACTGTGACCTCTGATATTCCATTTCCAATAGGACCATGCTAACACCATGACCCAATGGCTGAATACCCAACACAGACCATGTGGACCAGCTAAACACCATGACCCAATGGTCACACAGCCAACACAGAGCAGCTGGAGAGTGAAGTTTATACACAACATCTAGTCAGGGACATTCCACATTTAAAACATAGCAGAAAGATCTTCTTTAATGCTTTAGAAAAATTATGTCAAACATTCTTTTAGACTTCAGAATAAAAAAAAAAAGTAGTGATGGGGCTGGAAAGATGGCTCAGTGGCTAAAAGCATTGGCTGTATTTCCACACCCACATGGCAGATGACAATTGTCTGTAACTACAGTTCTAAAGATCTGATGCCTTCTTCTGGCCTCTGTGGGCACCAACATCGTACAAGGTATACAGACATATATACAGGTACAACACTCATATACATAAAAATAAATTTTTTAAAGAGTAGTGTTTACATCTCAAACAGAGCATCCATTCAGCCTTACATTAACTTACTCATGGCAACCTATTACAAATGAAATATACTATCTCAATTAATGAAAGAAGTGAACAAAAATTGAAAAATTGTTTGCATATTTTAATCTCTCACCAAAGCATATTTATCTAAAAAAAAACCAAGGATTTTTTTTTGTGCTGTGTCTAATCATCTTAGAGAGTCATGTAAGAGGTGGTTGAAAATGGTACTGGCATAACTGGATGTTGGCAGGCAGAAGAATGAAAATAGATCCATACCTATCACCCTGAACAAAACTCAAGTCCAAGTGGATCAAAGACATCAACATAAAACCAGATACATTGAGCCTGATATAAAAGAAAGTGGGAAATAGTCTTGAAGGCATTGACACGGAGACAACTTCCTGAACAGAACACCAAAATCACAAGTACTAAGGTCGACAACTAATAAATGAGACCTCACGAAACTGAGAGGCTTCTGTAAGGCAAAGGTCATGGTCAACAAGACAAAATGGCACCCCACAGTGTGGGAAATGATCTTTACCAACCCCACATCTGACAGAGGACTGATATCCAAAATATACAAAGAACTCACAAAACTAGATAGCAATAAACCAAATAATCCTATTTAAAAATTGGGTACAGATCTGAATAGAGAATTTTCAACAGAGGAATCTCAAATGGCCATGAAACACTTGAAGAATTGTTCAGAACCCTTAGACATCATGAAAATTCAAATTAAAATGACTCTGAGATCCCACCTTACATCTGTCAGAATGGCTAAGATCAAAGACACACATGACAACTCATGCTGGAGAGGATGTGGAGCAAAGGGAACACTCCTCCATTGCTGGTGGGAGTGCAAACTTGTATAGCCTCTTTGGAAATCAATATGGCAGTTTCTCAGAAAATTAGGAATTGATCTACCTCAAGACCCACTGATATCAATCTTGGGCATAAATGCAAAGGATGCTCCCTCATACCACAAGGACTCTTCCTCAACTATGTTCATAGCAGCTTTATTGGTAATAACCAGAAACTGGAAACAACTTAGATGTCCTTCAACCAAAGAATGGATAAAGAAAAGGCAGTACATTTACACAATGGAGTATTGCTGTTGTTAAAAAACAATGACACCATGAAATTTGAAGGCAAACGTCCTGAATTAACCCAGACCCAGAAAGACAAACATGGTATGTACTCAGTTATTAAGTGGATATTAGCTATAAAGTAAAGGGTAATCATACTACAATCCACAGACCAGAGAGGCTAGGCAACAAAAAGTTCCCAAGGGGGACACTCGGACCACCCTGGGAAGGGAAAATGGAAGAGATTTTGTGGGTGGACTGAGGAAGGGTAAGGGTGGGAACATGAGGGATCAGTAGCAATAGAGTGGAGGGGAGAATACTGAAAGAGGTGACTGGAAAGGGGGCATTTCAGGGTCAGATAGAAACCTGGTACAAGGGAAATTCCAAGTCCTAGAAGCAGTGCATATGTAACCTGAACTGGCAAGACTTCAGTGGAGGGATTGGGATACCAACCCAGACACACAACCTTCAACCTACAGTTTGTCCTGCCTATGGGATGTGCTGTGGTGGTAAGGGTGGCACAGAGATTGTAGGAGTGGCCAACCAATGACTGGTCCAGTCTGATACCCATGATTCAAGAGTGAACCCACCCTGACACTGTCTGGAGCTCCAGGACCCAGAGGCCAGATGGCCCAGAGACCTAGGATAAAACCAAACACAACTGGAGTGGGGGAAATGTCAATGTAATGATGCCTAATGATATTCTTCTATACCAATAGAATGTTGCCTAGCCCAATAGTCATCAGAGAGGTTCATCCAGAAACTGATGGAAACATAGACAGACCCACAGCCAAACATTAGGTTGATCTGGGGGGATTCCTGCTAAAGAGGGGGAGGGAGGGTTGTAGGATCCAGAGGAGTCAAAGACACCACAGGAAAACCCACAGAATCAACTAACCTGGGCTCATAGGGGTTCACAGAGACTGAACTGACAACCAGGAAGCCTCCATGGGACTAACATTGTCCTTTTGCATATATGTGACAATTATATAGATTTGTCTTGTGGGACTCCTAACAGTGGGAGCAGGGCCTGTCTTTGATCTTTTACTGATTTGGGGAACCCAGTTCCTCATACACCATTGCCTTCTCCAGCCTTAGTACAAGGTGAGGTGCTTAGTCTTGCTATAACTTGACATGTCATGTTTTGTCACTATCCATGGGAGGCCTTACCTTTTCTGAATAGAAATGGAGAAGGAATGGATGGATGGGGGTGCAGAGGAGGGAGGGGAAACTGTGGCTGTGATGTAAAATAAATAATAAATAAGATTAAAAGAAAGAGGTGGTTGACTGTGTGGGGAGACAAAAGGAAGACTGAATAGATGGGTCGATTAATAAACAGATGGAAGGATAAACAGATGAGTGTTCGTATTTCAAAAGCAAATGATTGAATTAATATACCCCTGAGTAACCACTAGAAATTGTTGTCCAGGTTATAAATACAAAATATCCAAGAAGGTCGGCCAACAATTATCTAGCTATAATTTGTCTAATAAACTAAAATGCAACAATGAAGATGACCTCACCAGAGAGGGACATTTTAACCTTTCCTACCCTTTGTCTTCCCCAGAGCCTCAGTCATTTGACTTACCATCACTACCCACTTGTGGTGGAGCAGTGTTTGTCATTAGCACCCAGCTCACATCTCTCCACAATGGATATGACACCTGTGGTCCCCAAAATGTTCCACCAGGAGGTGTTTGAGGGGCAGCTAACTAAGAGGGTGCTCAGAGTGGGTGGAGGAATCGGCTCACATAAGATCACAGAGCTGCAGCCTCCTCCCTTCAAAAGCCTGTGTGTACCTTAGAACCTACAGGAAGCTGTCAAAGAGTGTCTTCTGCACAGTCAACATGTGGTGGGGAGTTCTCAGCTTGCTGTCCTGGGTCCCGCTGCAAGGTAAGGACTTAGAGCCAACATGGTGTTTTATTTTGTTTTTTATTCAGCTGAGTTAACATTTTTTGCCAGACCTACCTGTCAGTCCCCTGTGTTCGTGGAGGACCTACTCTGGAAGGCAACCCAGGTAATTTTGTGAATACTTCTCTGGCTGTACTCAATCCACATTCCCAGATACTGTGTCTATTCTGCCTCTTGTTAACTGCTCTTCGGGGTAGAGGGACTATATGGTATGCATCTGTGGATCTGTTATGGTGAAACGTAACCAGCTTCCTCATCAATGCCTCCTTGTGTATAAGCCTTTATCAAATATTTTAATTTCTCTAAAATTCAGTTTTTGCACCTTTAGATGAAGACATTCATAAAAGTTTGACCCGCCAAAGTCCTCAGTATAAGAAAATCTCAAATGCAAAAACTCTTTGGAAGTGTCGAGGCACTACTCAATTCTAATTTGCTTTAGAGACAATGAGATCCCAGTGAAAACTAGTTGCTTTTAAATACATATTTCTTTTTTTAATTCAATGTGTATGAGAGTTGTGCCTGTCAGAGTCTGGGTACCAGATGCATGCAGTGACTGAGGGGGCCAGAAGGGGAAGCAGATCTTTTAGAACTAGAGTTGCAGATGGCCTTGAGCTGTCATGTGGGAGCTGGCAACAAACCCGAGTCCTCTGCAAGAGTAGGTCAAATTATTCCTACCCAAAAGTGGAGAAAAGGGTGGGGGATCGTGCTCTGGGGTCACAGACAGCCCTTGCATCAGTATGGGAAGGGACTGTGTACAGAGAGCCATTATACTTGTGTGTTTCCAAATAGTGACCCTGCTGCTCTGTGCCAGGGACCCTGCCATCCCTCTCATTGTGTTCATTTCAGAATGGCATCTGGAGGACTCCATTTGAGGAGGAGGGGCAGCAAGGTTTTTGTCTGTTTTTGCTTTTGTTTTTTAACATAGTTTTTCAATTCCCTGATCTCTGTATTTCAATTAATGCCTTCCTTTCTGTTCCCTGTACCCTGAGGCACTTAATAAGGACTCTGTTTTTGGTAACGAATGACATTAGTGTCTTCAGTAAGTGGCTTACAGAACAGCTAATGCATTCTGAAAGGGTACATTTAGGCAGCCAAAATTAAGATAATTTCAATTATTCAAGGTTTAAAGTGACTGACCTTAACTTTTCCAGGCTTCAAATATTTCCCACATTAAAAGAAAAAAAAATACCCCATAAAAAATTTTTTTTAAATAAACAGAAAAAAAAAACTAAAAGAATTATATTTTAAGATAAACCTTGTCAGAGCACAGCAGTGAACATCTGTAACATCAGCATTTGGGGCAGAAGGATCACCGTGAGTTCAAGATCAGCCTAGGGTATGTAATGGATGTTGGTAATTGCAATGTAACATGGTAAGACCCTGCCTCAAAAAATAATAAAACAAAAAAAATGAGCTTAAGACAAGTCTGCCAGGACATACAAACATGTGTGCACATGTATGCGGGTGCCTGCTGAGGTCAGAGGCAGCAGATTCCCCAGGAGCTGGAGTTATAGATGCTTGCGAGCCACCTGTGTGTGCTGGGAACCGAGCTAGGGTTCTCTGCAAGAGCAGTGTTCTCCTAACTGCAGAGCCATCTCTCCAGCCCTGAAACTATGTCTTAATATGGATGAAGAACCTGAGGCTTATACCAACTTAGACATTCTGAAAGATTCAATATTGAAACAATCCAAACTGAAAATTCCCCCACCTAGATGGCACAGACCCTCAGTGGGATTTGAACCACCACTGCTCACTCTGACCTAAACCTGCTCAGAGTCCCAGCCAGGGTGAGCAGGGACTGGCCATGCTGCTTCTTGTCAACTACAGCCTTGACACAGCTGCAAACTGTCAACCGACTTGAGCAAATTAGGCAGAAGGAAAATCACTGTGCTGGCTTCTAAGACTGCCAGAGATCTGCAGACAAAAGAATGTCAAGGCTCCCTCTCCTCAATGCCTCTGGAATGAATAATCTCTAGGGTGGGTAAAACGTGAGGAGAATGAGTCAGGGGAGCCGGATGGCTTGTTTGTTTCTTTGGTTTTCCAGATTCATTTCTCGTATACTGTGGGGATGAAAAGGTCAAGCGCAGCCAATTGCAACTCTCTTTTCTAGCCCAGGAAGGAAGGGCTTCTGCAAACTGAAGAATTCCTTTGTTCTCTTGCATCAAGTCGCCTCTTGATGACGATCTGGGAAATGATTTGATTCTGACAAGTCTAATTGATTGTCACATCTGTAGTTTTTTCTGCCAGTCTATCTAAAAATAACACAAATCTCTTTTTTGTCATCTTCTTCACTGAAGTGCATTTCTGCCCAGCTCTCCACAAGAGCCAGAGAAACAGGACTCCAATCTGAGAATTCACTCACTGCTTTTAGCTTTAATTCAGTTCAAGTCTCTGTTACTTGATGTCATACTTGCAGAGGAAAGTTAGAGTTCTGTTAAAATATTTGTCTCTGAAGATTTACATTTGTCCTTTTTGCCCATTAATTCAGCTAATATCCAGAAAGTTAACTTTGTTCTAGTGTCTGGGAGTGTATAGTGGATGCCCCTACTTCTAGCCATTTGTAATCCATTAACAGAGATGTAGCTATAACCACACAGGTGTAAAGGAATGCAGTAGGTGCTAAAACCATTCAAAGCCTTTGAGTATTGAGAAGAGAGATCTGGTCACTTGGAAGGAAGGAGGAGAAGGCCTGATTTCAAGTTTGCTTTTCTTCATATATGCATGCATGTGGTATGCATGCACGTATGTATGTGTGTGAACATATGCGTGTACATGTGTGGAAATCTGAGTTTGATATTGAAAATCTTCCTTGATAACTCTCCAGTTACTCATTTTGAGGCAGGGTCTCTCTGTCAAACCTAGAGCCTGCCAATATAACTACTCTCACTAGCCAGCTTGGTCCAGAGAACCTGTCTCTGCCTCCTGAATGTGGGAATGGTAAAGGAACCACCAACCCCACCTGGTATCCATGTGGGTTCTAGGGATCCAAATTCCCGTCTTCTTGCTTGCTCAGCACCTGCTTTAAGCACTGAGCAGTCCCCGAAGCCTTCTACTTAGAAGTTACGACAAAAGTTGCAACCTATGAATTGAGTGTCCATAAGGAGAGTCTTGGAGACACAGAGTCCCATGCTCTGTGTAGAGCATGAGAATGGCTGGGCAAAAGTGGCTTTTCCAGCCTGAATCTTCCAGGACCCATCATGTGACCCTTCACATGGAATACCTGGGAGGAGCATCATCGAGTGAGACATGAGAACCTGGTGCCTGCATACAAATACTTTAAAACAGTCCTTATTTCTCTTTAAAACTTATATGTGCATTGCTGTGGGGGATGGGCGAAATGCAGGTGTCAGTGAAGGACAGAAGCATTTGATCCCCCTAGAGCTGGGGATCCGGCTGTTAACTACTGGGTTAGGTAGGTGCTAAGAACTGAACTCTCATGTTCTCTGCCAGAGTCATACATGCTCTTTTTCAATTTTTCATTTTAGTTTATGTTAAGAGTATGAGTGTCTTGTCTGCACGTACACCTGTACACACACACATATGCATGCCCGGTGCCCTCTGAAGCCAAAGAGGACATTGGCTCCCTTGGAACTAGAGTTACAGACAGTTGTGGGCCACTGTGGATGATGGGAATCAAACTGTCTCCTGGAAGAGCAGCAAATGCTCTTAACTGCTGAGCCATCTCCTCAGCCCCAGGAAATAATTTAAATGAAGAAGGGAAAAGCATAATGTCTTTAAAATGTCAGTCTAAAAGCTAATGGATGATGAATTAGAGAGATGGGCAGCTAGAAGACAATTTTTGGAATGGTCCAGCAAGAAGCATTGGGAGACTCAGCCAAGGTCACAGCAGTGGTAGGAGAGGAAGATGGGTTTGATTAAATCCGTGCTTGGGAGAGGTGAGAGGGTGCTTGTCTAATGTCTGGGTGCCATGGCTGGTGACCACATTAACTAAGTAAGGAAACGCAGGGGTGTAGTCTGTGGCATGTCTGAATTAGTTATGAGACAGGAGAGACAGGACAGGTCACAGAGACCAGTTGCACATGCTAAGTTTGGGACCTTGCAACAGACTTGCTCTACTTTGGTCTTGAATTTATTGCATGCAACAACTGGGCATAAGTCAGTCCTTTAAAAGGATATTTTATTGTTTTTTTTAATGTCCCTGATAACCTATATAGAGTGAAGACCCTCACAGCAACTCTCCCCTAACCCGGGAAAGGCCAAGGGTTCTTAGGAAGGCAGAGGCTTCATTGAGTGCTTCAGGCGATGGGTGTGACTACCTCTTGCGCTTTGTTTGAAAGTTAGTCACAGTCACATGTACCTTGATGACACACCATCCACTGACAGAAACATTAGTTTCTTTTTTGTGGTGGTGGTGGTGGTGGTGGTGGGGTGTGTGTGTGTGTGTGTGTGTGTGTGTGTGTGTGTGTGTGTGTGTGTACACTTGTGTATGCTGGTGCACATAATACAAAGGTCAGTAGAGAACACTGGATACTCTCATCTAATGTTCTCTCCCTCATTCCCTTAAGACAGGGCCTCCTGTAAGCCTGAAGCTCATTGTTTTAGCCAGCCTGACCTTAGCTACCACCAAAGACCTGCCTGTCTCTGAATGCCCGACACCTGGGTTACAAGCACATATAGACAGACATGCCTGGCTTTTCTTTTTATGTGGGCACTGGGGTTTTGAACTCAGGTCCTCGTGCTTGCAGAACATGTGTTCTTATCCACTGAGCCATCTTCCAAGTCCAGGGCCATTAGTTTACCGATGAGACAGAAGAAATGATGAAGAGTCCAAGCTCCATTTCTATAAAGTCATGCATGATAGAGTGTTGGAAAGCTTCTGTCATGTCTCTATAGCAGACTACATACACTGTGGCCCCACAAGATTACCACACAGTCTGAGTGTGTAGCAAGCAACACTCTCCAAGTCTGTGTAAATACTAAGTACAGTTGATGAAAAGGGAAGGAGTAGGGGCTGTGAGACAGCTTAGTGCATTATGGTACCTGCTGCCAAGACTTCTGACTTGATTTGGATCCAGGAGGTCCACAAAGCAAAAGGAGAGAAGCAATTCCCACAGGTTGTTCTCTGACCTCCACAGGTGCACTATGATGTACTCACCCACATCCTTACATAAGCACACACAGAGATAGATAGATAGATAGACAGACAGACAGACAGATAGATAGGTAGATAGATAGATGATAGATATGGATAGATGATAAATAGATGAGAGATAGATAGATAGATGATTGATAGATAATTGGTAGATAGTAGATAGATAGATGATAGATAGTTGATTGATAGATGGTAGGTAGATATATAATAGATAGATGATAGGTAGCTAGATAGATGATTGATAGATAGATGATAGATATAGATAGATGATAGATGATTGATAGATGATTGGTAGGTGGTAGATAGATAGATAGGTAGATGATATATAGTTGATTGATTGATAGATGGTAGGTAGATAGATAAATAATAGCTAGATAATAGGTAGATAGATGATAGATAGATAGATAGATAGATAGATAGATAGATAGATAGATAGATCAGGCAGGCAGGCAGGCAGACAGGCAGACAGACAGACAGACAGACATCTTTTGGGGCCACCAACAAGCTCCCAAATCAACACACAGAGATTTATTAATTTTGAATGCTCAGCCTTAGCTTAGCTCCTTTCTGGCTAGCTCTTTAAACTTAAATTAACCTGTTTATCTACATTTTGCCTTGGGGCTATTTGCTTTTCTTTCCTTCTGTTTATCGTTTACTTCTCCTGTGTGACTGACTGACACCTGCCTGACTTCTGGACCCAGGAGTCTCCCTCATTCTCTCCTTCTTTTCTCTCTCCCTCATTCTTCCCTTCTCTTGAGCCTAGATTTCCCCTCCTATTTATTCTCTGTCCTCCAGCCCCACCTATCCTTTCTCTGCCTCGCTACTGGCCATTCAAGTCTTTATTAGACCAATCAGGTGCCTTAGACAGGCAAGGTGAAATTAAACAAATGTGGCATTAACAAAAGTAGCACACCTTTACACAGTTAAAGTAATATTCCATAACAAAAACAAATGTAAACACATCTTTACATAGTTAAATATTCCCAAAAGATAGTCAGACAGACAGATGAGTAAATAAATCCGTGTAAAATTTTTTTAAAAGGACAAGGAAAAAAGTCAGTACCATGGGGTCAATCCTCAGCACTGTAAAAATAAGTATACTACATGGCATTTGCACCATGATGAAATCTCCTAACTACACAGTCCATAAGAAAAGGTTCAAAGGGTGTCCTCATAACACATGGCCATTAGTGGCTGTATGCCCCCAGTCATGGAGACAACCAAGCCCGGAAGACAGTAATCCACTTAGTCAACAGGACCTGAGCAGGAGGAGGTGAGACATCACAGCCACTCGTTGCTGAGATGCACATCGGACTGCAGCTCTACAGGTGCACAGGCTGCAGGCCAGGCAGGGAAACGTAGGAAGCTGGCACATGGCATGTAGGCTGTGAGAAAAGTTAAGGGTGAGTGAGAATACTGTCGGTGTATCATCGGCTAACGGGGAGGAAGTGGTAAGCAAAAACAAGAACCCACACCTCGTTGCTCTGACGACAGGTGAAAGTTTGACTCTAAACTTAGGTGAGAGAAAACTGAAGACAGCCAACCCTCCCGTCTAGTATCCACCAGCACAAAGAGGAGTGTGCATATCTTTTCCTTGGAAGACTTCCCCTTCGAGACTCCGGGCAGCATCTTCCTCTTGCATTCTTTGATAGACCTAGACTTCTCATATTATTTTAAGTAAGCAAACCTGGGTGGGGCCTGTGGCTTAACAGTGGACTAGTCTTCCTTTCTACACCAATTTCTTGCTGCAGGATCAAACTCAGGGCCAAAATAAAGACCGGTAAAACCCAAAGCAAGAAGAGGCGGCACAGCCACCGCGGCTCTGCACCTCAGTCTAGGCCCTTCCCATCTGCATCTCTGGTGTCAATAGATGTCGTCAGTCTGACCAGCAGCCACACACATTGAATTCTCAGCAGTGAGAGCAGCTGCTGCTGATCTTAGGGAGAATCCTTGTACAGTTTATCACAATCTAACAACATTGTAAAAGTCTACTGTCTCTATTTAATTCATGAGCATGAGATTATTTCCCATGAGGGAACCCAAGCAGAATTCTGGCTACAGGCCTCATTGCTTATTTTTGAAAACATGGATGTCTTGATTAGTTACTGAATTATGTAGTAATTGAAACTAAGGCCTGTGGCATGCTAGGCACATACTCTACCACTGGAGCTGTGCCTTTAGCACTACAAATCTCTTTGTGTGTTTGTGTATACATATTTAAGTAGGTGTGTACGAATGTGTGGGAGCTGGAGGTAAATATTGAGTGTGTTCAACATTCCTCTTTACCTCTTTTTTTTTTTTTTTTTTTTTTTTTTTTTTTGAGACAGGTCTGTTGGAACCTGGAGCTCATCTATTCTGCTAGGACTGTCTGGCCAGTCCCCAGGGTCCTTCTGTCTCCAGCTCCACAGCACTGGGATTGCAAATGAGTACTCTGTGCCTGTTATATCTATTTTATCATGTGCTGGGGTCCAAGCTCAGATCCCCAGGGTTGCATGACAAGCACTTCACGGTGTAAGCCATCTCTCTAGTCTCACGGTAATGCATTATTCTTTTCCTGAATTGGCTGGTGGTATAGGTGTTTGTCAATTAGGGCTAAAACAAACTTTTCCTGTGAAAATCAGTAGGAATACAACACCAATCCTGGGTTATAATTTTGCTATAGGACTGGAGATGGAATGCACACAAAAAGGTTGTACTAATGAAGCCTGTGAGCTCCCAGGAGCATTTTTCCTGATATTTAAAATGGTCTCAAGGATGCTGGGTATGATGGCTCATGTCTGTAAACCCAGCACATGGGAGGCTGCGGCAGGAGGATCAGGACCTCAGTGCCAGCTTGGGCTATGTAGTGAGCTAATGGTGTGTCTAGGCTGCATGAGACATTATTTCAAAACAGTTTTTTTTTTTTTGTTTTTGTTTTTTATTTGTTTTACAATGTGTGTATCACAAGGAAATAAACGTATTTCCTTTTTTCTTTTTTCATTTTTGGGTTGAAGATATGGCTAAACCCATTATCTGTTCACAATTTATAAGTGTAGTATTCTTCTGGTTGTATAGTTTTTACACCGTCCTAGGTAAGAATTGTGTTTAGTTTATAACTTGAAGCAATAATGAACAATGATGGATGTGACAGTTTAGTAAGAACAAGTTTATTCTTCCTCTATTTTCTTTCTGGGACAATAAATTTGTAACTGCCTGTAGTCAGTTCTTCACCATTCTTTGGGGACTGTGATTCGGGAAATTAAACTCATACATTTGCTAGAGATTTGTGGTTGAAGCTATCTGGAGTGGATCTATACTTCCAGTGACCAACAGCCCCAACAAATGACTAGATCATCATGGTGTGTGTGTGTGTGTGTGTGTGTGTGTGTGTGTGTGTGTGTGTGTTTCAAGTTGGACTCACTCCCAGAAATAAAGGGACTGAGATGATGAGCAAAAAAAATAAGGAATAAACAGACTCAATGTCTGTGTGTGTGTATGTGTGTGTGTATGTGCGTGCATACACGCGCGCGCACATGTGTGTGTGTGTTTGAGCACTCAGGCATGCATGTGAGTGTGCATGTGTATATGATGGGGATTCAATGCAGCGCTTCTCTGTTGCTAGGAAGCACTTTGGCACTGAGCAGCACCAGGGACTACAATGCCCCCTTCCCGACAGGCTCATAGACAGCTGATGTAATACTTAAAGTTGCAAATCACCTGTTTTATAGACCAAGGCTATAAAAGCTGTTTCCTGGGGGTTCACCACTGGTAGGCCTGCCTATGTAGTTACAGAGATGTGGACCGAAGTCTAGCCCTGTGACCTCTGTGACCTTGAGCCTGGTGATTTACTCAGGCTCTTTTCTTTGGGGTTGGGTGGTGGCTTCTGCTGCCAGGGCACTTGCTACCAGCCTTGACACTGTCAGTCTCGGGACTTGCTTGTGCTCTGACCATCACACCTCATGCAGTGCATTGCCTCCCCTTCCCCATGTCTCCCTCCGCAGCAGCCTTTCTGGACACAGAAAACATCACAGTAGAGGAAGGCCAGACGCTCACCCTGAACTGTGTCACCCCCCTGACAAAGAACGCCTCTCTCCAGTGGCTGGCCCCTTCCGGGTTCACCATTTTTTTTAACCAGTATCCTGGTAAGTGGGGTGAGGGGAGGAAGAAAATGATAACCCTAATGTAAGGGATTTCCAGCAGGGACAGATTAGTGGCACAAAGACCCACATGAGTCACCCAAGGATGGGCTCAGCCCACCACTGTTGCATGTGACTCACACCTCTGAAGCCTGTTATTTGACACAGGGTGGCTTTTGGGGGGTGGCAGGAAGTCTGAAGTGGAAACCCCCGTCAGAAAGGTTGTTAAAGGGGGCTTGATTTACAGAGCGCCTTTCCACGCCTGTAGCTCACTCCCACATCACTTTTTGACTCTCACTGACCAGGAAACACCCACAGCAAAGCCATAGGCAAACAGCAGGCTGCCTTGTGGACTTCCTGTGGAACAGGGCATCACCTCCTGTCTGGAGCCAGCAGCAAAATGACATTACCAAGTGCCTTGTCTTCCCCTATTGGACTTCACACCAGGGTTTCTAGGCAATGGAAATTGATGGGATGTGCTCTAATCAGGACAGTCATGCCTTTCTTGTGTCACACATGAAGTATGTCCTGGATGATTACGATAGAAAGGGACATTCTTCATGCATGCTTAGACCTCAGGCAGGAATTTACCAAACACTCTTAATGAGACCATTGATATCTCTAACACCCCTAGATGTCAAGCACTCGAGAAAATCAGATTCAGCAAAGTTCCACTTATGTTCACAAACAAAGCCACTAGAAAAAATAGATGTGCTTTGTCAATACTGTTAAATTGGTGCATTAAATATAAAATAGCCAAATAAATGGTGGTGAGCTTTACCGACTGTTGGTAGTGGAGCCCAATAGACTAAACAGACAAGTTGGGAAAAGTGGTGGAGAAATGAACTTTGAATAGGAATAGTTCTGTTAAATGAAGTTTGTTGTTGTTGTTGTTCTGTTTGTTTCTCTTTGGAAGAATGGGAAGTTAGACATTTCTGTGGTAAAACCCCTTAATCCTGCTCAAATTTTCTCCAAATGGACTTGCCTTGCCCTCAGGCTGGCGTTTGGCAGCAACTGAGAATTGTCAGGGTTGTTACAAGTAGGGAGTGGGGTCCTAGGCTCTGGAATCTAAAAGGTAGAGGCCAGGCATGCAGTAAACCACCCACAATTCACAGTGCAGTCCCCCACCCCTTGACTCCAAAGTCAACAGGGATGAGACTGAAAACCCAGGGTTCTAGCTTGGGAGGCATCGGGTCTCAAGAGGCACAGCCATCCTTTCATATGAGAGATGCTCCGTTGGCCAATAACCGAGGTTTAACTCTGTCCGTGTGTGCACATTAAGCATCTATACCGGATTTAAAAACAAGTTCAACAAAATCCCTTTATGGAGCCTCTGCTTTGCCCAGGGATCTTTGACTTCACATGAAGTTCCCAGGTCACTATGTCAAAGCAAATCAAGATGAAGCCTCCATGTTGGTTAAAACTTGCTGAGCTTGCTTTTTTGTACTATTGGCTAACTCCCTGGAAAGACTAAGGATCAAATTAAAAATTGAAGGCACTTAGCTGGTGTATGTATCTCCCGTGGCTGACATTGGTTGTGACAAGGCAAACCACACATCCATCAGGCCCAAGTGCAAACTAAGAAGGGCATGGTGGGGAAGCAGAGGAGTAACTCCTGTAAGCTCACAGCAGCTTCTTTTCCCTCCTGTGCAGCTTTAAAAGGCTCCAAATACCACCTTCTCCACCACTCGCCCACACAGCTCTCCATCAGTGTGCCCAACGTAACCGTGCAAGATGAGGGCGTGTACAAATGCTTACACTATGGAAGCTCTGTGAGGACGAAGCAAGTGAGGGTGACCGTGTTAGGTAAGTTCCCTGCAGGGCGTGATCGAGTGATGAACAAAATACACCAGTTTTCTTTAAAAAATTTATTGGAGGCTGGGTGGTGGCAGTGCATACCTTTAATCCCAGCATTCTGGAGGCAGAGGCAGGAGGAACTCTGTGAGTTCAAGGCCAGCCTGGTCTACAGATTGAGTTCCAGCTAGAGCTACACCAAGAAACCCTGTCTTGAACCCCCCCCAAAAAAAAAACAAATAAAAAATTATCTGAGAAGCGGCACATGCTATGGGGCTCACACAGAGTACAATTTGAAGGAGTTAGTTCTTCCCTTCAACCACATAGGTGGCGGGAACTGAACTCAGGCTGTTGGGCTTGGCAGCCTGAACCACAACCTGCTGAGCCACCCTCCCAGCCCACTTCAAAATTATAATGAATCATGTATAAGATGTATTTGATTTTTAATTATATGTTTATTGGGGGATAAAGTGTGGGTACCCAAAAAGGCCAGAAGGTAGTGCCAGATCCCTTGGAGCTGCTGGGTAATTGTGAGCCACCCAATATGGCCAGGAACCAAACACAGGTTATTAGCCACCAGGCTCTTTCTTAGCCACCCAACCATCCCTCCAGCTCTGCGATGTATCATTTAAAACTTGATACTTTAGTTTTAAAAGGTTTTTCCCATAGCAAGGAGCTTCTAAGGGTACTGCTGCCATCTTTTATCAGAAGAAAACTAAAGAGATCATTTTGTATGGCAAGCTTAGATTCAGAAGTAAACCAATAAATTTGCCTTGGGCACCAACTAAATTTTCTTCTCAGAAACGAAACAGAAGTAAGATTGTCCTATTTTACAGACTGTGCCAGGCACCATATGAGACTCTAGGGAATCAGAGATGGAGGTGTGCTCTCTGTCCTTAAGGAGTTTGCCCACCATTGGGAGATTTCGACAGCCATCCTGGCTCAGGCTGGTGTGTGTCCTTCCTGGCTGTCACAATACACTGTGCACTCCTCTATCATAACACCCAGCACACAATCTTTTTTTGTTTTGTTTGTTTGTTTGTTTCGAGACAGGGTTTCTCTGTTGCTTTGGAGGCTGTTCTGGAACTAGCTCTTATAGACCAGGCTGGTCTTGAACTCACAGAGATCCGCCTGCTTCTGCCTCCCGAGTGCTAGGATTAAAGGTATGGGCCACCACCACTGCCGCCTGGCTCATTTTTTTGCTTTTATCCTGATGACAATAAGACTTGAACCCAGAGCCTTGAGTATGGTAAGCACATGCTTGACCACCAAGCCACCTCTCTAAGCTCCAGTACCCGGCCTTCTAACTCAGTGGTTCCTAACCTTCCTAACACTGCCACCCTTCAATACAGTTCCTCCTGTTGTGGTGGCCCCAACCACACAATTGTTTTCATCGCTACTTTATAACTGTAATTTTGCTACTGTTATGAATCATAATGTTAACATCTGTTTTCTGATGATCTTAAATGACCCCTATGAAAGGGTCATTCAACCCCCAGAGGGGTTGTGATCCACAGGTTGAGAACCACTGTCCTAACCTTCTAAAAGCACAGGACCTGAGCCCATAGCCAGACTATTAGTTCCTTGAAGGGCCTCTCATTCTCATCTTTGTGGTGCCCACAAGGAACACATCTGGAACCTGCCCAGAGTCATTTCTTTCTGTCCCAACATCTGGATGAATTCAGTAAATGCATACAAGTGTGATTTCTCCTGTAAAAGAAAACAGCAAAGGCAGAATTGGCAAAAGGAAATAAGTAAGTCCAGCTGAAAACAATGTCCAGGACAGCTGTACAAAGTGCAAGGTCCAGCGGGTCCTCGATAATGGAAATGTTCTTTTGATGTGAGAAAGCAGCATAGGAAATTTACTTTTCCCTTTATTTGCATAAACTTGCAAACATTTAGAGCTGAAAAGCCGGCTCCTCTGCGCCCCAGCTGACATACCAAGAAGCTGGAGGGCTTGTCTGTCCCTACAGCTCGTGGTGACAATGACGAGACTAGAAGTAGGGTTCTCCCTAGTGTGCTAGCAAGCAAGCTTGTGGCGATACATCACATCCAGACTGCTGTTCTGACGATATCGCTCTGGGAATTCTCAGGACCTGGCCGGATGCTCAGAAACAAACATTCTGACTTCAGCCAGCTTGGTTTTTGAAAGCATAGCATGGTAGGATTCTGGGGAAAGCTAAACAAGAAAATGTGGCCAGTAATTATGTAATTGTTCCTACAGCAATCCCCAAGATTCATAGGTGATGTGCTTTGCCAACATGACAGTCCAGGTGATGGAGATCCTGTCCTTCAGGAGAGTGCTTGCAGTGCGAGCCTGACAAACTGGCTTAGGATGCCCACTACCCACATAAAAGCTAGGCACAGGCATCTTTAACTCTAGCATTGATGAAGGGACAGGCACATCCCTGCAGCTCATTAATCAGATCCAGTTGTAGATGATGATCAAAGAGTAAGGCTGACATCTACCTCTGGCCTCCACATACCTGTGCCCACACGCAACCTACAACTACTTCAACGCAGAAAAATGAATTTTCTTCTAGTGACTCCTTTCAAGCCGACTGTGGAAGCTACGGTTGGCAGAAGGCAGAACGGAGAAAAACATGTTGTACTGAAATGCTCCACAGAGAGGAGTAAGCCCTCTCCGCAAATCACCTGGATGCTGGGGAGTCATCTGGAGATCTCTAGTAAGTAGGGGAGAGAAAGGCTTCTTTGTTTCCTTTCTTGCTTAAATCTCCAAAAAGCTTTTTAAATGTTTTGGCGCCCTCTGGTGTCCAGGGGTGGTCAAAGACACCATTCAATATATCAGTTCAGACTCTAGAGAAATTAGCCTTAAAATAATGAGTATTTTGTCTAATGGTAAACGGCTGATCGCAAATCATGCATTTTTAAAAATTAGAGTAGAAATATAAAGTAAGTCATTTCATAAGACTTCTTTTAAAAAACTGACAAAATAATCCCCTAAATTAAGTGGTGCAACTCTGAGCGTAAGCTTTTTCACGATCATGAAATTGGAAACCTGTCATATGTGTACAGGAGATAGCCAGCTTACCAAGTGTCTGTGACCCAAGAAACTCTACCATAAGCTGAAATTTCTTCATGAAAATCTTAAAGCTCAATTCAGCAGATGTCAAACAACCTCATCAACTTCAGACATACTTTCGGCACTTCTATTGTCCTGTCCCTCAGCAAAATCACCTATTACAAAGCATATGTCATAAAGAATTTCTGAGAGCTATGCGGGTGTTTGATTCAATCCTGGGCTGAAGGCAGTTAAAACAAATAGCAATTACCTGTATCTCTGAGTGTGTGTGTGTGTGTGTGTGTGTGTGTGTGTGTGTGTGTGTGTGTGCTTTTAGGCATTTTAAGGTTGAGAAGTCCTATGCTAAGGCATCTGGAGTCAGAGAGTGTCTATAATTAAATGGATAAAGCCCATATATAAAGGTACCTTATATATGGGTACCGTGTTGCACATACAGAGACAGATGAAAAGGTTATGAGAGGGAAATGTGATGGTTCATACATAAAATATCAGCACCTGAAAGGCTGGGGCAAGAGGATTGTGTGTTTGAGGCAAGCCTGAGTTATATAGTGGGAAAACACATAGTGTTGGCTGATATTTCAGTAGATGTTGCCTTTGCTAACTGTACAATCATCTGCCCTTAAGAGCTATAAGGGGCTGTGCACTGCCAAGAAAGCTGAGGGTTAATGGAATGAATTCTAGATCGAAAAGGCATAAGACTCAGACATGTCTTCCAGTCCAGCAAAATCTACTTCAGCCTAAAACTCCTCCATTAATGTAATCTTCATGCAACCTGGGGCTTTGTATTTTGTGACAGTAAATTACTCTTCTTGTATAAACACTGTAAGGTTGGCTCTTTTTGACCTCAGTACAGAGGTTTTGTAGAAACTTACCCACCACATGCTGCTTGTCTTCTGCCCATGCCCAACCCACACAAGGCAGCTGTCTGGGTGTTAACTGCATCGAATAGAGTTCCGTAGCCATAACCTTTCCCATCTCTTCAAACTGTTGTGTAGGTGGACTCCATCATAAGTTTGAACCTGATGGGAAAACGTGTAACACCACCAGCATGCTCATTGTCCACACATACAACAAAAACTCAACAGTGCACTGCATTATCCGACACAGGGGCCTGCATGGGCGGAAGCTGGTGGCCCCCTTCCAGTTTGAAGATTTGGGTAAGAAGAATGATTGTTTAGCTGTCTTTAATTCAGCTTAGTATTTCTTTATTGTCCTAGTTTGCTTCCATGTTGTTATGCTAAAACATTGACAAAAACAATTTAAAGGAGGAAAGAGTTTATTCCATCTTACAGCTCTTAGGTCACACTCTATCATCAAGGGAACTCAGAGCAGGAATTCAAGGCAGGAACCAGGAGACAGGAACCGAAGCAGAGGCCATGGAGGAGTGCTGCTCACTGATTTGCTCCTCAAGGCTTGCTCAGCCTAGTTTCTTATAGAAAGTAAGCCTTCCTACATCAATCATCAATAAGACAATGCCTCACAGACATACCTACAGGTCAATATAATGGAAGGATTTCTTCAAATGATGCTGCCTCCTCCCAAGAGCATCAAATTGACAACCAATATTAGCCATCACAGTTACCTATTGTCTATCTAGAACCATTCCAGATCTCCAGCAAATGTTCAAAGCGGATCATTGGTCTCAGCAATTGGTGGCTTCTGTTTACTTATTATCTTTTTTCCTTTGATGAGCCACGGAGATAATACAAATATTTTATTCATCCAATCAGTTTTAAAAAAAAACAAGCTTGCTAGCAGAGAATGTTTTAAAGCCCACTTACAAGTAAGCATCCTGATCCTTTCATCTACACTGTCTTCTGCGTTGGATGCAGGGAACATAATAATTGTCCTAGGAATATGTCACATCTAGGAATTGTAATGTTTCTAGAGAACAGAGCAAGAAGAAGGATTGAATTCTCTGGGGACTGGTTTGCTTCATCTGTCTGAGATTGCAAATGAGGAACATTTAGTTCCCATCACTAATGTGGGGGTGGGGTTTTACAGCGTTGAATCAGTTCTCAAACACCTTTAATGTAATCACCTTCCACACTTGTATAGGTGAATGTATGTGGCCAGAAGCTGACATATCTTCCTCAGTCACTGTCAAATCTTACTTTTTGAAATAGTCTCTCCCTGAACCTGAGGGTCACTGGTTTGAGACGGGGCGGCCAGTGAGCTACATGGATCCATCCAGCTGTCTCTGCCTTGGGGTGCAGGGAACACGGGTTCATGATGTTCTGGCTTCTACTTGTGCCGAGGATGCTAACTCGCATCGCCACACCTGTGCAGCAAACATTTTACCACTGAGTCATCGCCCCAACCCACCTTTCACACTCCTAAGAATAATTGAGGAACACAAAGAACTTTTATGTGTTTGAATTCTCTCTGTTAATTTTTACCTGTTAGTAGTTAAAACTGAGAAGTTTAAAATATGTGACTAAGTTATTTTAAAAATAAGTCTACTATATGTTAACAAACATTGCATAATTTTATGAAAAAATAACCATGTCACAAGCATGTTGGGAAAATGGCTGCTTTTTATTTATTTTTTTTTTAAATACTCTCAATGTCTGGTTCCATGGAAAACAATGCTGTGCTCAGCAGTTTCTGCATTCAGTTGTGTCTACCAAGTCATCTTGCTTGAAATAAATATATAATAGTTCATCAAGAGACTCACCAGACATTCTAGGCCAGCCTGGCCTACACAGCAAGCGCCAGATCCACTAAAGCTATTATATAGGAAGACTGTCTCAAAAAACAAACAGGATTGTATCACCCTGGATAAAGGGAACTTCTGAAATATTATTTCTCTGATGGTTTTTTTGTAACTCTTCTTGATTTCCTTAGAGGTTTTACCAACAATTCAGATTTTTTTACACCTGCTTAAAAATAACAATTTTACACCACAGAAAATTATTTATTAAATGGACATTAAATTTCAGGAGACAATACCCATCTGTCACATATCATGTTTGGTAGGCACAGTTACATGCTTACACATTAACATTCTTCCTGGATGCCAGCCTATTCAATGACTGATCAAAATGATCTAAGCTCTCTGGAAACATCCACAAACATTTCTTTATGTTACACAACAACATTTAGTGGGCATCTCACTTAGTAAACAGGCATTGCACTAAACATCTTATGTGAATAAAGTTATTACTACACACACACCAGATAAAAGCTAGCAACTGTATTTCATACACAAGGGAAAATATTCAGTGATGGATAAATTGAGCATCTTGCCCAAGTCACTGAGGAACATGCTGATAATAGCATTGAGATTCAGCTCATTCTGCAGCTGGAGAAATGGGTCAGTGACATGGAAGTACATTTCCTCTGGAAATAGGAAAATATCCATACACAGATGGACAGACAGAGGAACTGATACACAGGTGTGTGCAGAAGGACACAGCAAATGCCCTTTGCCTGCTACTGCCAAATGTCCTTGCACACAGGGGTCCCAGCATGCTGTACTCTCAGCCAGGTCACCTAGCAGATGGGCAAGCAGCAGGGTACAGATTCAAAACACAGAGTCGGGGCTCCTAGTCTTGACACAACCCCCATAAGTGTGTAGCAGCCCGGTTCTGTACACTGTGATCCCGAGCGCGATGTGGCTAAAGCTGATCTCAGTGGTTACAGAATTTTGTTTTTCCCCCTTTTTAGCTGCAGATGAAGAAACAGCTTCAGATGCCCCTGAGCAGATGTCTCTCTCCTCTCTAGCCCCCCAGCAGCCCACGAGTATGGGTAAGTCTCAAAATCCCTGAAACCTTAGAAGAAATGCCTGGTTGGAGTTGCACATTTTTAATTCTACATTTAAAGAATATTTTTAAAGTCTGTGTTATGTGTGTGGTGTGTATGTGTGTACCCATGTGGGTGCACTCATTTTGTGCAGCATTGTATCTGCCAATAGTGGGTACTCAGAAAATGCACAATAAACGGGCATGTGAATGAATGAATGAATGAATGAATGAATGAGTGAGTGAGTGAGTGAGCTAGTGAGTTTATTGTGTCTTGAGCAGGGTGGCTAGCCTCCCTCAGGAAGGTATGCATTCCTGTATGTTCTCTATAGTAATTCCACCTTGTGAGGTTTTTGAGTTATTATCATGTTCATAGTTTTCAGGATCAGATCACATTTTTTTTAAAGCTGTGTCCTGAATAATATTGAAAAGTAAATGTTTAGGATTTTTAAACCCTGAAAAATACAATATGTACTGTACAGATTTTTTTTGAAGAGTGGTAGAAATTGAAAACATTATGAAGTGGGGCGACCACATCCTTGCCTTAATAATCCAATATTTTTAAGCGTGTTTGGAGTCTGGTTGTTTTTAAATTGCCTGACACCGCTACTGAACAACTCAATTTCCTGCTTTGCATTTTCATATACAACCTAGGATTTAAGAGACATGGTCGCTGGAATTCTTTTCAGCTTTCAATTTCTGCAGCTTTATTACTGTTAATAACACCTATTTTGAGAGCCGCAGGCTTCATTCCCCTCGGGGCCACATAGTGGCGCTGTGCAATGGGGCTGATAAAGCATGGCCGCCAAGGAAGAGGGAACTAGAAGCATAAGCTGCAAAACTCAAGAAAAGCGGTCTTATTGTTCCAGCTCATCTACAAAAGCCTCACAGTTCAACCTGTGTTTAAAGGGTTGACTTTTACGCTGTAAAAAAAGTCTGCACCTGGACTTTTACACTGGTGGCCGAGGCCTAGGGCAACACAAAAAGCTTTGTGCTGTTTATTTCTATCCAAGTTTCTCTCCAGAAAGCCCAGAGGCCGCCCCAGAACTTCCTTGTTCAGTGCTTCTCTTGAAGCATCCTGTGGACCTCCTCCCTAATTGTTCTCGCTCAGGAAGGAAGCGTGGAATGACGACTTTGATCTAGGTCCCCCAATTAGACAACTGGGAATGTCCTGGTTGACTCTTCCTCAGTTGCCTCAGGACTAGGCCCTTTGTTAACTGCTCAAAACCTGTTCTCTCAGAGCTGAGGTGAGAGACGACCACACACCCCGTGCATAGCCTGGTGGTTAGGTGTTCAGTAAAGGGTTGCCTTTTCAAGTATGACAAAGGAAGTCTGGCCAGTTGTGACTTTTTTTTTTTTTTTTTTTAATGAGAAACTGATACTTTTAAAGCAAAAATAAGACAAACACAGGAAGACAAAGACTGTATGTTCTTTCTCGTATGTGAGAACTAAAAATGTTGACCTAAAAGTAAAAGCAAATAGAAGTGTGATTATTAGTAACTGAAACTCAGAAGGGAAGGATAGGGAAGGGGGAGGGGGGAGGTTGGATGAGGAGAGCCGAAGGGTGGTTGGAGATAGGGTGTAAGTTCTTATGTTCTGCAGCATGGCAGGGTGACCATAGTTTAGGACACCCTATCAAGGGGGCTAATGGAATGGACCAGTGGGTAAAGTGCTTTCTGTGCATGCATGAGGACCCAAGTTCATATCCCAAGTAGCCATGTAAAGCCCTGCAGCCTACATTAGTCCCAGCACTGGGGAGACAGAGATGGGCATTTCCTCGGACTCACTGATCAGCTACTCTAGTAGGCTCAGGGAGAGAGAACCTGTCTCAAAAAAATAAGATGGAGGCAGGCATAGTGGCACAAGCCTTTAAATCCAGTACTCAAGAGGTACAAGTAGGGAGATCTCTGTGAGTTCAAGGCCAACCTGGTTTACAAAGTAAACTCCAGGCCAGCCAGGGCTACGTAGAGAGAAGGACCTGCCTGGTCTAGCAAAGAGAGAGCAACAGGGGCAAAGCCATTTCCTTAAAATGAGTTTGTCTGGACTGGAGAGATGGCTCAGTGCTTAAAAGCACTGACTGCTCTTCAGGAAAACGAAACAGGTTCAATTCCCTTACAATCGTATGTAACTCCAGGGGATCTGATGCCCTCTTCTGGCCTCCTTGGGTGTTCGGTACTGACTGTCATGCACAGACATACAGGCAGACAAAATGCTCATCCACATAAAAGTAAAGAGATTTTAAACTTTCTCTCAGTAACCGCATTAGTCCTTTCATGTAAGTGGAACCTTCTGGACCTAAACTCCTCTTAAAGGCCCACATGCCCACACCATCACATGGCAAAGCAGTGTCAACATGAGGTTTAGAGGGACAGTCAAGCCAAAGCAGTTACAGGGTGAGTCACACATATGTAATATATGTATATATCATGTCTTACTTTCACCTTAGTCTCAATGATGGAAAATTCCAGTATACAGGAGACTGACAAGGAAGAGAAAGATCATGTCACTCGGGACCATGACTTCATGACTGGTGAGTGTTACCCACTGGCCTTAGAAAAGATGTTTGATATTCTGACCTCCAAGCTGCGTGTCCAGTAGTTTTCTTCAGTCCTTGTTTTCTGTGACCTTTCTACCCTTGTGACATGTTAATCACTCCTTTACCCCGTCTTCAGTTGTCTCTTGACTTCCTTATCCTCCCAGTCCTGTCGACAGATTTTTTGCTAACCACTGTGTCTCTACATCAGCTATCTCTATTTCTTCTGAGTTCTTTTGTTTTAAGAGGATTCCTTTTTCATGAGTATGAGTGTTTGCCTGCATGTTTGTATGTGTACCACATGTGTGCCTAGTGTCCACAGAGGCTAGAGGTCACTGGGAGTCAAACTCAGGTGATCTAGAAGAGCAGCCAGTTCTTAAGAAGAGTAGTTCTTAACCACTGAGCCATCTCTCCAGATCCTTTTCTGAATTCCTATGTGCATGATAGACGCATATACACAGGCACACGCATGTAGTCACCAATGACTCATGAGTTCTCTTCAAGGTGTTTCGTCTTTGATCATACTTACTCCCTTAATATTGGGCCTCATCATCTTGTGACTTCAGTTCTTCCTCTTCTGGTCCAGGCTTAGCACCATGGAACTATATACCCTTGTACCCTGCCTGCTTGTGTACTGAGAACCTTTCCGGCTTCCCATAGTCTACAACATATAAAACCAGTTCTCAATCTGCATAAGGTACACTCTCCTATCCCTGCAGCCCTGCTTCTAGAAAACCCCTGAGAGATACATGGTACTCTGAAGGCATCACCCTGTCTCAACATCCCTGCCCTGTCAGTCCTTCTTACCCCACAGCAGGAGAGGCTTCACCTTAACAGCCTTACGTCTCTCCCAAGACTGATTGATGTCTACTGGAAGCTTCCCAGATGCATGCAGCCTAGGGTTCCCCACTTCTCTGAATTTCTGTTCTGTAAATACACATGGTTCTGGGAGTTGGCATATCCTACTTGGGTTTGCCTTTAAATGTATTTATTTTTATGAAGAAAAATGATCCCCTAAGGCATAAGGATTATGTCCTGGGCAGGTTCAAGTACTCTGTTCTCCATATAGCCTCAATTCCTTAATTCTGGGCTTATTGGCTGAGGTGAAGGACATTTGGTAAAATTACAGACTAGTTTAGAAGTACTTTTAAGCGCTCATCAAGTGTATCTCCTAATGCCTTTACAAGGGCCACATTTAGCCTAGTCAAGATACATTGAAGACAGGGTTTAAATGAGTCCACCAGACCCAAGATAAATGATAAATAGGTATTTATTAGAGAAGCACTTACACAGATAAGAGTAAATAACCACCATAGTCTTCCTGCTCCAGAAGATGCTGTCTCTGCCCTTCTGATGCTCTCAGCAAACCAAGAGAGCATGAGCCAGCCCTCTTCTACCTTATAAAGGGTCACATCTGTACCTGAAACCACACCCAAAGGGTGTGGCTACCACACAAGTTCACTGGCAAAGCAAGATGCCACTACAATATATGGCATTTTATTTTAATAGTTTTTTTCAACCCCCCCCAATTTCCCTGTGCTACTGAGCTACATTGCATTGAACAAGCATTCCTCATAGCTACTTAAAATTCCCAGACTGTATTTTAAGTCAGTATTCTTGTGTGCTTTCTCTAGAAATGAAAAAAGAACTAAATATCCATGTCATAAAAAAACAAACACACAACTTTTCAAGTGATCCATGGGATTGATTTTTCTCTATTGCCCATTTGCTTATCTTCAGAGACCTGAAAAGCATGCAATGAATGGTTTCTGGGGTAAATTTTGCCCCTCTCCTGAGCTGAGATGAGCTGGAAAAGTGCTGTATATATTCCTTTTCCTGGCTGCATTCCCTGCTGCTGTTATAAAACATTCTCACAAAAGCAGCTTGAATGGAGAGTGGTTTTATTCAGCTTATAGTTCCAGGTTATAGTCTGTAATTGTGGGGAAGTCAAGGCAGGAACCTGAACTTGTCCCATTCATAATTAGGAGCACAGTGAGAATGAATGGATGCTTGCTTACCCTCAGTTCACTTTCTTTGCTATTATACAGTCTGGAACTGAAACCTAGGGAATGGTGTTATCCACAATGGGCAGGGTCATCCCAGTCAATTAATGTAATAAAGACAATCTCCTACAGACACTCCCTCATTGAGATGGTCGGTTTGCAGGTGATTCTATATCGTGTCAAGCTGGCAATTAAAATCACAGTGCCAGGTGGTGGTAGCACACACCTTTAATCCCAGCACTCAGGAGGCAGAGGCAGGTGGATTTCTGTGAGTTATCAAGGCCAGCCTGGTCTACAGAGGTAGTTCTAGGACCTCCGGGGCTCCATAAAGAAACCCTGTCTCAAAAAGTAAAATAAAATAACTAAACATCACAGTCAAGTGTGGTGTCATAGGCCTTTAACCCCAACACTAGGAAGGTAGACAGGAAGGTCCCTATGAATTTCATGAAAGCCTGGATTATGTAGCAAGTTCCAGGCTGGCCAGGGATGCATAATGAGACTTTATCTCAAAATAAGGGGAAAAAAAGTAGAGAAAGATAACCATCACATTCCACAATGGCCAGAGCCAGAGGGAAAGGCACCAAACCCAAACTGTCTAACAGCCTGTCACTCTCCTCACAGAAGCCAGTGCTCAGTACTCAGGCCTGGAGAAGAGGAACAGTGGCATCCTGCTGCTCACGCTGGTGTCCTTCCTCATCTTCATCCTCTTCATCATCGTTCAGCTCTTCATCATGAAGCTCCGTAAAGCACACATGATTTGGAAAAGGGGTGAGTGGGCAGGGAGTCTGGTGAGGTCCCCAAGAGCCCAGTGACTGACTAAAGGGAGAGCCTGTCAATCAAACCCCTCTCTTAGCTGCTGTACAAGCTGACCAGTAAGGTGTGTCACTCAAATAAGCAATCATTTGTTTTCTAGCAAACGTGGGCTATGGATTTCCAGGGAACATGCTCAAAAAGTGTCAGACAGAGAAGCTAAAGTAGCTATGGGAGTTGGTGATATGCTCTTGTTGACAAAACCCTGAGCCAATTCATCCATTCACTCATTGAGCCTTCACTGAGTACCCACTGCATGCCAGGAGCCATTCCTGATGCTGGGGCTATGTGAGTCTGCAGGATGGGAGATCCCTGGTCTCCTTATGTTCTAGTTATGGATAAAAATCCAATATCTTTTGTATTTTACAAGAATGAGCTCCGCTTCATTCATCCATAAGACACCAGCCATTCCGCCCCCCAAGAATTCTAATGAAAGAGGTACCACTTAAACCATACAATAACAATCATCATAATAATAAGTAACTCAAAATTAAAATATCTAGTATAGATGATCCCTACTAAAATGCATATGCTCAACATATAACAGAGCCTGACAGAACCTTAGAAGTTATTTAGAATAATTCCATGAACATATGTAGGATTAGAGCCCCTCTACATGAGGGTGTGAAGACTGTAAAAGCTGGAGGATAGGAGGATTGCCATTAAATGCTGTCTTCTGGGTGTGGCATGGATATGAGCATCATGAGCACACAGCTGCTGTGACCACCTGTTTAGGAACTACAAACATACAAAAATACATGATGGGGGAAGTAGTTGGGGAAAATATGATGGTCAGCAGGTGTAGGAGGAAGCATGGCAAAAGGCAATGGAGGTAAATATGATCACAATACAATATATACAAATCAAAAACTTAAAAACTAACTTAAGAGAAATTCTTGCTTCATTCTCAAAAAACTAGCCCTACATTGTCTTTTGCAGCAGTCACAAGATGACAGTCTAACCCCTGACATGTCATGAGTCTCTATCATGATGTGCTATAAAGATAAACTACCCAATTTTCAAAAATAAGCACACACACTCAAACTCAAACATAATGTGGTATTTATGGTACCAGTTAACTAAAATATATTGTGAAATTAATATCCCTCCCTTTTTAAACTGTAGCTGCTAGAGTATTTTTAATGGTGAGTTACAGTGTTGCTGGACAAAGCTGATCTAGTTTCATATGGTCCAAGGCCTCTGGTAACAGAAAATTCTTTATACCAACTCAAGATACTGCATCTATGAATATCTCTGACTTAAAAACATTACTCGATAGCTTAGCATGAGCTCATTTAAATAGATGAGGTAATAACTCATTATGGATAGACCCAAGGGGTTGGCTAAGAGAAGGTAATGATGGGAAGGTGAATAGCATGCACTTTCCTTCACATGCAGAAAATATATGACATGAAAGCAGAAGGAAGACTGGAGAGGAACAATGGAAGGGGAGAAGAGATCTAAATGGGGATAATGGAGTGATGGTAGGAGGTAAATATAAGAAAACTACAATGATCCATATGTATCTTATTTACTTTTCTATTGCTGTGAAGAGATACCATGACCAAGACAATTTATAGAAGATACTAGTATCAAAGAGTGAGTCCATTGTCATCAAAGTGGGGAGTGTGGCAGCATTCAGGCAAGCATGGTGTTGGAGATGTAGCTGAGAGTTCTATCTTGATTCACAGGTAGAGATAATGAGAGCTTGGTGTGAGCTTTTGATATCTCAAAGCTGACTCCCAGTGATATACCTCCTCCAACAAGGATGTCCTAATCCTTCCCAAATAGTTACATGCCCTGATGACTAAGCATTAAAGTATATGAGCCTATACAGGTCATTTTGATTCAAATTACCACAATATGCTTGAAAATTTCATAATGAAAACCCAACATTTTGTATTCTAGTTACATCAAGAAAAAGATAATTTGACTGTGTGTATGTGTGTGTGTGTGTGTCCATCCAGAGACAGGGTCTGATGTTTCATTTGTACAGTAGGCAAATGACAGACTATTATTTCAAATGATTGCCCACCATTAGGGCTGCTGCAGTAGTTCCTTTATGAAGAACAATGCCTACTTCTGTCCTACTGTCATTTGACTTCATCTCTTATGGTGCCCTGAAAACCCTGGGAACCCTGAAAACACCATAGGATGGCATATTGAGCTAATGAATACACAAGGCACAGGAGGAGATCATTATAGTTCAACATCTTCCAACATCCATTTCTAACTGTGTCTGCAATACCAGAAATTAGTAATGTGATTTTCTTTTCTTACAGAAAGTGAAATTTCAGAACAAACTCTAGAAAGCTACAGGTCAAGATCCAACAATGAAGAAACATCTTCCCAAGAGAATGACAGCCAGAGTAAGTCACATGTGGCCTGGCACTTGAACAATGGGGATCATTCCTGAGTACCCTTAGGGAAAGTGGGGAGGGGATAGGATCAAAGTTTGAGTTGACCTGATAGATTTTCACTTGATTTATGGTATTTAAGGAAGTTTATCTTTAAAGATTAAATGGAAGTTAAATCCATGTTGTAGAAGGTTCTTCACTTTAGAAAAGCTGGCTCTGATTTCCTTGTCTCACTCAGGGTCACTGTGTGACCTGAGCTGTGCAACATCCTACACAAAACCTCCAGCAATGAAGCACTTTCCATACCAACCTATGCTTCATTCTGTTACTCAGAAAATAACTGAATTCATTCTGCATCCTTGAAGTCTGTCTTGGAGCCTAGCACAAATGTAGTATTTGGTAAATTTTCAATGAATAAATGAATTCAAGGCTTAATTAATCCAAAGAGAAATATTTGGGGTCTTTTGGATGACTTCATTGTACCACTTTAAGCAAAATAATGGTGGTAAAGACCCTAAAGGAGAAGGAGAGTGGATGGGAGTGTGGATGGGTGGGTGGGAGTGTGGGTCTGCACATGCACACATGTGTGTTCCTGATTTAAAAAAAAAAATCTAGTAGGCAGAAGCCAGGCAAGACAAGAATTATATACCTTCTACCTGCTGTATGTCCTCTCTACAAATTAATTTATTCTGCTGGCAAGTATTTCAAGAAAATGTACTAAGCTTTGCTGATTGATTCTGTTGGTTTGCTTAAGGTGTTTTGTGGGCTTTCTTAAAACACCTGTGCCTTTTCTGTTTCATTTTGACCTTCCAAGGTGTGACAGAGAGAGAATAGGCTTCTAGCAGGGAAAGAGACACAGTGAGCAGATAATAGGGAAATATGTGGAAACTACCTACGGGCCATTGGGCTGTGAAGCAAAGGCAACTGGCATTGGAATGGGTGTGATTTGTGTAGATGGCTGCGGTGTTTTTCCTGGGCAAGGGGAAGATAAAACAGCTGGAGGAGAATCATGAGCTTTAGCAGAAAAAGGAAGACCCTGGCCCCAGGTGCTGAACAAGCCAGAATCCTCATGGTTCAGTTTTAAGGAAATGGAGTGGATGCCTGCCCTCAGGATTTCCTGTGCAGATGGGGACATCAGGAGCTCTCCATCTTCACAGGCAGAAGGGTTTTCTTTCTCCTGGGCTCACATCTCCATTTTCTTTCTGTGTTAGTTATGTTTGGCTTGGTTTTTCACTGCTAAAACAGCAAACACCTGACAGACCAAGGGAAGGGGGATTTATTTTAGCTTATGTTCAAAGGTCTCAGCCCACTGTGGTAGAGGGAGTGTGGTGGAGCGGGGCACATAATGGCAGCCCAGAAGAGAAAGAAACATTTGCTCAACTCACTTCCTCACCCTCTCTCCCTTTGATCCCACTCGGGCCGGGCTCTGGCCTGTTGGCTTGTGATTCCCACACTCAGAGCCAGTGCTTTCCCCCTACTTCAGCTTCCCTAAAAACAACAGATATTTCAGCTCCATGCTTTCCTGTTCTTCTCGAGGTTTGTCGATCCAATCAGGTTGACATTCAAGATACAAAGCTCCATTCTCCTTGCTCCATTCTCCTTGCTCCATGCCTCACACCCAATGTCATAACTATATTGTTTTATGCTTTCAAAGGATCAGTCTGGGGCCAGCTCCAGCTCTAGACTTTGAGAGTTCTGCCCCAATCTAATTTTTTTCCCATGAGCCTTGTTATTTTCCAGTATGTGGTTTTGCTGAAGGCAATGTATCATATTCTTTGGTAGCAAAATATTTATGTTTTATTTCAGATTGATTAGTATATTGTTTGTGTAGAATAAGTTGTTTTTTTTTTATTAAGACCCAACAATTTATTTAGAACATTTACACGTGCCAGATAATTGTAGGTTAGGTTTTATAACTAAAACATGGCCTCCAAAGAGCTTCAAATAAGTAGGCACAATGCTGTTTGAAACTCATCTCTAATGAATTTTTCTTTCAGCTTCCCGGTCTAAGCATTGTATGAACTACATCACACAGTTATACTCAGGAGTCAAAACAAAGAGGAAGGAGAATGCACAGCGTTGGAAACTAGAAGGCAAACACAGTCGTGTCCCAGAGAGCATTGTATAAGTGTTCCCTGCAACGGAAGATAGGATTGCAGGGCAGCTGCATAAGGCCCTGGAAAGGAGCATAAGTACAGTGGCATGAAAAAAAAAAATGTCCATTGGGTATAATTCAAGACAGTGTCCACTGAGCCAGGGCAGCAACATGAGGACTAAGCCATGGACAGAAAGCTCCTCGTTGAAAGAAAAACATAGAAAGAACCAATTATTACTGACACTACTTCAGAGCTGGAGAACTCTACTAAGCCTTTTGGATCAGGGTCAGTATGACCAGCGAACATCTGACCTCGAGCAGTAGGCAGCAATCTTTAGATATGGGGCTACAGTTGGATGATTTAAATTGGTTTAAAATCTTTTCTTCTATTCAAGAAGAACTTAAGGATGAGACGTACCCAAAGAAGACCTGAGATACCAGAGGTCTGCTTTCAAGACAGGCTCTTGGAAGGAATAGGGAGAGATGGGATGTCACAGCATGTGATGGACATGAAGATCCAGGGGTCTGCCACTCTCAATATAAGGACTGAATTCAACTTCCAGTTTCTTAGGTTTCCTTGCTAACCATGGGAGGCAACCCCTGGCAGACAACTTTTTTAAACTGATAACACCATGACCAAAGCATGTACAGAAGAAAACCATGAGTTTAATTAACAGATTATTAAACTCATGAGTGGCTTTTGGAACTTCTTTAATAAAGACCAGAGTGTCTTTCTAGAGGTTGTTGTGTTTCTCTGCTTCTTGATTCTGTAATAAAATTATTGTAACTCTCTTTTTCTTAAAAAAAAAAAAAATCAGTTCAGATCAGTTCAGAGGACATAGCAAACTCTGGTGCTCTGTGAGGCATTTTTCATTATTTGGATCTGAGAAAAGCAATTTGAAAGTGTGACATGCTATATTCACAGAAACAAACATATATCATGAATGTGTTGTTGCAAGGAGCAGCTCCTTCTGTTTCTATTCCTCCTGTGTTCATTTCTTTTCATTTAACATTTAAAATACTATGGCAAAGTGTAAAGATAGTACAGAGGACCTTCCTTGCCTCTCTCAGAGTGAATGGACCGGATACTCATCACCCCTTGAGTCCTCTGAGTACCCCTACAAAGACACACCTCACCACAAAGCCCATCTGAGTCAGGAAAGCAGCATTGCTGTGTTTCCACTCATGGCCCTGTGGTTTGAATGAGAATGGCCACCACAGGCTCACATGTCTGAGTGCTTGGTTGTCAGAAGAAATGTGTGACTCTAGGCTGGGTAGCGCATGCCTTTAATCCCAGCACTCAGGTGGCAGAGGCAGGTGGATCTATGTGAGTTCCGGGCCAGCCTGGGCTACAAAGCTACACAGAGAAACCCTGTCTCAAAAAATTAAAAGAAAAGTTAAGGAAAGATTAGGAGGTGTGGCCTTGTTGGAGGTGTGTCATTGGGGATGGACTTGGAGGTTTGAAAACACATCACCAGGCCCAGTCTCACTCTCTCTTTCTCTCTCTCTCTCTCTGCCTGCTGCCTGCTGGGATTAAGATGTAAAGCTTTCACAGCTACTGCTCCAGCACCATGCCTGCCTGCTTTCCACCATGATGATATTGGACTAATCCTCTAAAACTATAAGCCATCCTCAATTAAATGCTTTCTGTTATAAGAATTGCCTTGGCCATGACGTCTCTTCACAGCAATAGAGCAGTGACTAAGGCAGACACCATTCAAGCTTTCCCAGTTGCCCTAACTGTCCTGAAGGCCACAATTAGATTTTCCCTTCATCTTTTCCTTGTCTGTTTGAATTATGTATCTGTCTTGTTTTGGGGGGTTTTGTTTTGTTTTGTTTTTCATGGCCTGCATGTTTGTAGCACAGGGTAATTATTTTACAGAGCAGCCCTCAGTTGGGCTTTGAGATCAGGCTCAAGGAACACTTTTGGACTCTCAAGGAAGCCTACTGAGTTTCATTTTCTTGTGTATTATTTATCCCACTTGATGTCTGCTGCTCATTTTAATGGATTCACATGGTGCTGTTGGAGTTCTTCACTGCAAACCCACTTTCTTCTTGCTTCAAAACTATGCTAATATAGTTTTCCTCCTTAAACTTTAAAGCTATTCACATTTTTTTTTAGATCTGTGCTTTCTTAAACCCTGGTCTCCACTGTTATTCAATCAGTTCTTATCTGTGACTACCAAATGGGTCCATTGCCAATTTTACTGTGCAACTGTGGGCACCAGTTTCTGTGTCCTCCTGGCAGACATGCATCCATCTTCAGGCACACAGTTTGCTTTTTGATACTACACATTCAAACTTCCCCTGTGCCAGCCCTGAAATCTACAATTCTCTAAGAATTCCCAGTCCTGCTTAGTGGATGTTATTAAGTTACAGAACTCCAGGGCGCTCACACCAACAGCCCCTCAGTAATGAGATTTCTTAGGAGAGCGAGCCTTGCAAACATTATTGCCAGGATTGAGCGTTGAGGTGGGGAAAACATTCAAAGAGAAGATGGCCACTGTGAACAACATGCTGTGGAAGGGGTGGACTGAAGGAAGAAGGGAGTGTGCCTTTGGAGAAATCATTTGAACCGAGGATACCTAACTTTTATGCTTTGGAGAGGCTTGTGGTGATTTGGTCTGACATGTCCTATATGATAAGGAGCCAAGCACTGGATAACACCATACATTTATCTTGCAGCTTTGAGAGGGATAGGCTGCAAGGCCACAACATAGAACAACCTTCTAACTCAGTTCCAGAGGGGCATGGCATGACTTTTGGGAGGAGAGAAATTTCAAAGACAGTTTGCAATCTAACAATAGATGCTGGCATTTAGGGTTTGTAATCATTGTCATCACTGCTTGTGAGGTATCATCACTGTCAGATCCTCTCAATGGACAAAGCTTGGGACTATTTCTATAGGTGTGTGTGTGTGTGTGTGTGTTGGTGTATATTTAAGTCTGTCTATTGAAACCATGAGTTTATTCTAGCGTCTCGCTTTCTGTATTAATTCCCTCCTCTGGGAGATGCTTTTTTGAATCCCTAATGTATTTTGGTAAGTTTTCTGTGTGGAGGTCATCTCCTAGCCTGAGGATGTCCTTCTCCTGCAAAGGCTCCAACTCTAATTCCTTTTCTTCTGTCATCAATTCCTCCATGTGGAGTCTCTCTGCTCACTAACCTTGTACTCTGATACCTCACACCATGTGGCCCCTCAGTGTGGAAGTGTTCAGCACGCACATGAGCATGCACACACACACACACACACACACACACACACACACACCCCACTATATGGCATCCTTCCCACCCATTCAAGTTGACATTGTGGGCAAGGGTAGCTCTCTATGAAGCACTGCCTCCTCCCTAGGCTGAGCCTCTCACACTCCCACACCGTCTGGGCCTCCACATGTTCCTACTCACACTCCCATGGATGCCTGTTTTGTCTTCTGGATGGAACTGTCTGGGAAAACTATGCTGTAGGAGGCTGAGAGAAAGAGAGTAAGTCAGGAGTCTTGCTTTCAATGTGCAAAGACATATCATTCATAGTCTTGTAACATCTCTTTGTCAGTCATTTGTCAAGCCACCAGTAGTTTGAAAACAACCCAGGAGGAAGCACTGTTACTTCAGGGGTGGTGCCTGTCACACACTGTCAGTCAAACACGTTGACCAACTTTTGAGTCTATGTTTGACTAATCCTCCACATGGTACCCCCTGTGACTGCCCCATCTCTCCAGATCAGCTTTCAGGAATCAAGTGAAAGTGGAATCCCCTGAGAGGGTTTCCTAAGATGAGGATCACCATCTTAGGATCACTGGGAGGGTTTCTTCCCAGTGAGTGGTGTCAGGAGACTTGGGGTAGAGTTTTGGAATTAGTATATTGTAAAGACTCTACTGCAGCCTGGTAGGGAAACAGTGGTGTAGCACAAACCAGGCATTTTCAGAGCAGAGATGAATTGTCAATGGCATGGTTGAGGTGGTCACAGCCTCCTGGTAATCACTTCAAAGCATTCATGTCAGGATTACATAAACAACTAAGGGTAGAACCTAGATGCCAGTCCAAGCCTTCCTGGTCAAGACCATCACCCCCTCTATTGCTATAGCAACATGATTTCGGGGTCATTTAAAAAGGAAGATGCTGGGAGTTGTGTTCAGCATCTTTCATTTGCCATAGGATACTTTCAGCTACATCACTGGTACCCTTTCTATCTCTCTAAAGAGAATGTGAAGTATCAACAGGTGAGCAGAAAGCACCAAATGTCCAGGGTTGGTGGGACTGAGTGCATTCTTCAACTAGATGTTGCCACTCTGGCCAGGATTTTGTTTCTCTGGTCCTGGAATCTACCTGCTTTTTCCTTCACATTAAGTGGGCACTGGATGATCCTGTGCCACCTTTATTTCCCCCAAGCCTTGAACTTAGTTTATTATATCCCCTGTGTAATCTAACAACCTTAGTGTATCACCCCAGTGTTGCAGAGAAACTCATCAATAAAATAGTTATATTTATAGATTTCTCAAATCCCAGTAATTCTGGGTCTAGTTTTACAGATAGAATATTCAGAATAGGAATGAATTTATGTCAGACATTAAAACGTAGGTTGAGGAAAATTAATGTCCTGGAAATATTAGTAGAAGTTTTGTGGGGGAAAGAAAAGGTTCCTGGGGGCGCTGAGATGGGTCAGTAGGTAATGCTCAAGATTCAATTTCAATATCCGGGACCCACATAGTGGAAGGGGAGAATGGATCCTTGAAAGTTGACTTCTGTCATACACACACATATACATACACACAAAAAAGAGCAAATAAATACATGTCATCACTTTTTTTTTTAAAGAAGTATCCTGGTGTCATAAAGGATTCTATGTAGCTTGATTTAACAAAATTTTATTCAGATATACTCTACTCACAAATGGAAACTTCTGGTGTCAATGGGGGACAGTTTCAGGATCTCTCTGCCACCATTTCCCAAAACACCAAAATCTGAGTAGTTTTAGGTCCCTTATATAAAATAGTGTGATATTCATTTATACACTACATACATTCTTCCAAAAATGTAAAACACTTCCAGATTATGAATAATACCCAGTACAACATAAAGGACACATGGAAAACAGTTACAGTCTATTGCTTTGGGAATAATGACAAGAGTTGTGCACGCCAGTGCAGAGAAGCCTGTTCTGATGCCTAAGATTTGTTGCATCCATGAATATAGAGTAAATATAATAATAAATGCAATAACTTAAAACAACATTGACCATTGAGACATTAGTGAGTTCTTGACAGGTTTCTAGAAAAGATTTTTGTTTGTTTATTTACATACTTTGAGACAGGATCTTGCCATGTGGCCCAAGATGGCCTCATATGTATAAACCTCCTGGCACAGAAAAAGACTTTTCTTAATGATAAAAGGAGGCCTTCAGAATCAAAGCATCCTTCCCTGAAAATGTAACTACAAATGATGTCTGGAGCCCCCACTACTCCTTCATGGGCCAGGCTACAGTGCCAAGGTCATGGGCAAAGAAAAGGAAGTCCTGTGACCTTTACTGTTCTTAAGTTGCTAAGTCAGAACTATCCTGCACTGGAAAGCCAACAGTTATTCAAGCCAGACAAGCTGGATCAATAGTTACCTTCACCTCCCGAATGGACCGCTTGAAATGCTACAGCAGGCTGTTTCGTGCACAGTCAGTATCCTGGAAAACACCAGTCCAGCTTTGTTTACTGATGCAAGTGCAGTGACCCAGACACAGTCAAACAGCTACCAAAGATGCAATTAGTGGGTCAAATAGCTGGGATCAAGGCCTGAGCCTCTGCGCTCCTGAAGCACTCAAGGCAAGATCCTGACTTTTTCCCTACACAAGAAGGGGTTTCATGCTCTTGTCATCTCACTCATGGCGAGATGGGGCCAGAAAAGAACAGACAGAGCCTGCCCAATGCTGCCTTCGAGGAAGGAAGTCAAAAGAATGCTGATCATACTACCCCATTACAATAAATAAATAGATTTTCTGGCTCCAAGCATCATCCATACTATCTGTCATCAGGTGAAAATGGAGAAAATGACAACCACCCAACATTCTGAGCACATGAGGCTCCCTGTAGATGAAGAAGGTAGTTTGAACTGCTGACCATTAATGAGCCCACTAATTTAACCCAACAACATAATCTCCCATCACTTCCTCTGGCCGAAGTCATGGTAATTTGCTATATTCATAAAGGGGTTTGATCTAGATGAAACGCGGTTGTATTTTTTTTTTTTTTTTTTTTATCATCCTGAACCTTCTGAGGGAGAAGAAGCCCTCTTCCTTCCTGTAATGCACTCATGAGCAGGTCTGTCATCCATGTTGAAATATGTTAATTTCCCCCATCTTGTCTCTTCTGTTTCTTGTTTTCAGATACAAGTAAACCTAGTCACAGCAAGCAAAAATAATTTCTATTCTCCCCAAATGTATCAATCATACAGTTAATGGTTTTGGTTTTGTTTTTTTAAAGCCATCCTACTTAATTTCTAAAAAAGCCTAAATTCAGGGAAACACTATATTGATATTTTTAAAAGACAAAATAATTTTCCCAGGATGCTTTTGGCTCCATGAAAAAAATTGGTCATTTACTATTATTATTATTATTATTATTATTATTATTATTATTATTATTATTAAGACAGGAAAGCTCAGGGCTGGAGAGATAGATCAGCAATTAGGAACACATGCTGCTTTCATAGAAGACTGGGATTCCATTCCCAGCACCTACATCCAAGAACTTACAACCACCTAGAACACAAGTTACCTCTTTCCTCCTCAGGTACCTGTAGTCACACACACACACACACACACACACACACACACACACACACACACACACACCTACCTAATGCAAACCATATTTCTCCTTTCCCAAATGGCTTCTTGCTGACTTCCCTGGTGGTGGTGGTGTGCAGGGGGGGGGCATGCTGAAGGAGGAATGGGAACTGACATCCTTCACTTTCTTACTGTTTCTTCCAAGTCCCCTTGGCAGAGTCTTTTCATCCCCAAGAGCTCAGTGGGCTGCAATAGCAGCACCTGAGTCCCCTCTGCTCCTCCCAGAGCCAGCTCCATTAGTCCTCCCTCATCCCCCAAGTGGCCCTTCTCCAGGCTTCTTAGGGATAATGATTTTAGGGTCATCCTGGGCTTCCATAGCCATAAAGGCCAAAGCTGCTTTCTGTGGTCACTATACCCATGAGATGTGTGTCCCCTTTCCAACTCTTCATAATATGTCTTCATACCAAATTATCTCCATTACAACAACTGACATCATTTCTAGCCCCTGGCATGCACTGTCATTTGTGTTATTCCAGCCTTTCGTTACACCAGAGCAAAAGCAGGATAGCTGCTGCAAAGGAGGAAGTGGGCCAGACTTCAGGGGCTTCTACACTGAGAAGGTGGTGTGACTCTACAAGGAGCTGCTGGATCGCACTTGTGAGTCACAAGTGGGCGGTGAATTGCAAAAAGCCAGAAGCAATGTTCTCCAGATAATGCAGAAAGCAACGTAAGGGCCGCAAGGACTGCAGCAGTGACCCTCACCAGTGGCTGAGAAGCCGGGTGGGTGTGAGTGGTCCTCTCTTGACTCCTCAGAACAACACACCCGTAAACTGCTACGAAGAAGGAATTCTTTTGCAGAGGTTTTCTATGCATGTTTGAGGTTGCTATCATAACACATGCAATGGACTGGACAGAATAACACAAATGCTTCAGATAACTCATTTTTGTTTTGTAAATAAACACTAGCGTCTTACTGTGCACATATAGGAAAGTTCCCTGTTGTCAAAAGAAAGTGAAAATGTAATCAGCTATAATAAGAACCGGATTGAAACATGGTAAAAACTAGTACTTTGGTTATTTTCCAGTTCCTGTTTCCTATTATTAGTGAAGCAACTAGTCTGTGAACATTCTTGCCTCTTGGAAGGCAGTTATTCAGACCTATTTGTGTCTTGAATGTGAATATAATTTCCATTCTTTGGGAAATTTTTGACAGTAGGTATCCTACACTCACATAAATGTATGTCCTTCTTTTTTTTTTTTTTTTTTTTCTTCCTTTCTTCCTCCCCCCAACTCCTTTCTTGCTTTTTATGTGATAGGGTTTCACTACGTATCCATGGCTGTCCTGGGACTCACTCTGTAGACCAGACTGGACTCAGACTCAAAGATCACCTGCCTCTGCCTCCCAAGTGCTGGAATTAAAGGCATGTGCTCCCACCATCCGGCATAAATATATGTCTTAAAGAAGTATTTAAAATGAGTATCAATGCCAACCACTAAGGTCAGCAAATACAATCTCAAAAGCAGTCTTCCCTGACCAGAGTCCTACCTGGTCCTTTTAAAAATTTGTTATGTTGTTATTGTTGCTGCCCTTTGCTGTGTGTGCATCTACAAACCCAGCAGATTTTGATTTTGCTGGTCTTTAATTTCATGTCCCCATATTCACCAGTTTGGATGCTGTGTGAAGTATTTTCATCATAGCTGCAACAAAATGCCAGGCAGCAAGAGAACAGATGATCATTTTGGCTTATGGTTTCAGCCGGTCAAGGTCGGGAAAGCACGGCTGAAATCTAAGAGGCCAGCATGGCACAAGCTCTTCACATCCCAGGGTAACTGGAAAGCAGAGAAATCAGCAATATTAGGCTATAGCCCTCAAAGGCCAGCCCCGGTGACCCACCTCCGCCAACCAGGCCCCCAATCACAAAAACACCACTGCCAGGTAAGCCTGAGTGAGACAGTTCAGATTTAACCTGTCACTGATGCATAAAAAAGGTGAGGTTGCTGGGAACTAAGGTGCGCCTGCATATTCCAGATAATGCCAAACCGGTTCCCAAATGCTATCCAGTTCACACACTAGATAGCCCTTCATCCATATAATCCCCTTGGCCCTTGGAACTGGTGTGTGTTTATCTGTTCTCTGTTCCCTTGGGTGTTTCAGCTTTTTGAGACAGGCTCTCACCCTCCTTATCCTCCAGCCACGCCTTCTGACTCTGGTTGCTCCCAGGTGGCATCAGCAACACGTGGCCAACTTTTCCCCTTACGATGCCTGTGTGGTGAGTGTTCTGTCCTGGGTGGCTTTAATTTTCCCTCTTCTGAATATGAGTGAATGAAGTTCCTTTCCGATGAAGGTCAAATACTTACTGGCCTCTTGTTCTTTTCTTCCCTCCCGCCTCTCTTTTCTTGTCTCCCCACTCCAGCCAGCTACCCATTCACTAACTGAGTTCCTTTCTCCCTGGTGTGTAGGTCTTGCCTATCCCCCTCAGCATCCCTGAGGGGCTCTTCCTTCCCTGTTTTTCCTCCGAGTAAGGGGCGGGGTGGTTGGACCTGAGCATCCCGATCCCGGGGTACCCCGCGCGGCTAGGCAGCAGGAGCGCTGGGTCCCGAGGCTCGGAGCGAGCGGGCGCGATGTTGGCCCTGGTTTCCAGGCAGCGGCGGGCGGGGCGGAAGCCACAGCGGGAGCCGGGGCTGCGGAGGTTGCGGGGCCAGGGGCGCGGCCGCTCAGCAGCACCGGCAGGTGAAGGGCGGTTCCCGGCGGGTGGGAAGGGGCCGCGCGGGGCAGGGTGTACCGAGAACTCGGGGACCTGCGCGAGGGAGTCTCAGAGCTGAGGTCCCGGAGGAAGGACCGCGCCCAGACAGGGCTGCGATCTCCTGGGCCAGACAGCCTGGTCCCTGGCTCCTTGTACCCGCCAGCGCCAGCTCCGACCTTCAAACGCCCCCCAGCCCTTAGAAAGAGGCAATGGCGAAAATCCTGAGATCCCCATGGGACAGCACCCACCTGGCCTGTTCCACACAGGGCAATTTTGGATCCGTTGTTCAACCTGAGTGTCCTTTTGCGCCCTCTGCCCTAGTGGGTTTGTCCCCAAGTAGTGGCAGAGACAGAAAGCTGGTGGTTTTTTAGTCCCTAGATACTAGAGACTGTGCCCATGCCTTTCTTGTTTACTAAGAAGTGGATTGGTCAGAAATCTCAGAGGCCAAAGCATTGTTTTGTTTTCCCCTTGTTGTTTTTGTTTTGGAGTTTTTGTAAGGGGTATTACTAGGGAGTTACTCTTGAAATGTAGCCACTTACTAAATTTATCCAAGAGGTCAGCTCTTTTTCTGAGAGAGAGAGAGAGAGAGAGAGAGAGAGAGAGAGAGAGAGAGAGAGAGAGAGAGAGCCTAGTTTGGGTGGTATTTCACTCTACTCTTTCACATTCTTCCCACATTTTCTCAGTCTGTCACCAACAACTAAATTATCATCATATATAGCCATTGCTTGTTTATTACTACCAAGAAACCCTGGGTTCTTATTTAAGAAAAGACAGAAAGAATGATCTGGATTATCATATCAAAAACAATGATGAAATGAACTATGAGTTGTTGGGGTTTTTTTGTTTTTGTTTTTGTTTTCTTGCTGGAGTTGTAGATTAAATGGTGGGCCATGCGTGTTCTATCAGTGAACTAGCCCTGACTTTTTAAGCTTATTTTTCAAGATTTGAAATACAGTGACCTCTTAAATAAAACGATGTTTATAGTGACTTAGATTTTAAATGTTTTCATACTTACCTTATTCTAAAAATATACCATGAAAAGCAAATCTGTATTAAAGCATGGCAGAATGTGATCGATCGTGCATATTAAATGAGACTGCACGCAAACTCCTCTAAAATTAGGTGGTGATATATTAGTAAAGAGGGAACTTGCAGTTAAGCAGAAAATCATTCCATGTTTAAGTATAAACACTACCTTTTGTTGTATTTGTTAAGATGCTTTCATCCAAAGACCAGAGTGTGTCCTTGGAAACCCTAGCAACAAGGTCAATATAATAGTAATTCAAGGAACAGAAATCAGGTCAAGGTATTTAATTAAAAACCGGAGTTGCCAAAAGAACATGATCAAGGCAGTCAAAATAAGGCATAGCTCCAATGGTAAAGGTTTTTGGCTCTCTCTATTTCTGTCTCCTCTCTGACACACACACACACACACACACACACACACACACACACACACACACACACACTGGCATACAGGAAGTGAGAGAGAAGGTATACCAAAAGAGAAACACTGGATAGAGATGAAAGGAAATCCAACCCCAACCATCATCTTCCAATCCTGCACGAACTCAAAGCATTTTTCTGTAAACCATCTTGTGGGTCACTATTGTAACTCTCAGGGACAGTGAGGGTTTACTTGGAATCACACTCTTAAGTAAGTTAGAAGGGACAGACTCCACTAACTCCTAGCTGCCATGCTGGCCACTCTCCTACCTAGCCAGCTTTGCTCAAAGACAACTCTGTTCCAGGTAGGTGGACTCCAGCCTGTGTTTTGAGTTACTGGGTGACAGGATTCACAAACAGTTTGGTTGTTGTTGCTGTTGTTGTTTCTTTGTTTTTAGATAGGGTCTCGTGCAGCCAAAGCTGGCCTCGCTTCAAGGCCTGATCTTCCTTCCCTCTCCAAATGCTTAGCTCGCCAGCATGCATAGACACGCCTTGTTCAGTGAACATTTTTAACAATTATTGTTTTATTGCTATTGTCATCTAATACTGACCTGAGATTGATCTCCATATAATGGCCATCAAATTATACACTCCTCTCTAGCAAGCATTTTGAGTAGCAAAAGCCTTTTCTAAAAGATGGAGCTGGCTGACGCTGGTCTAGGAATGAAGCAGTCTGTGTAAATACAGTTTCATCTGGGGAAACATGCTTTTTTTCTCTTTTACTTTCTAAACAGTAAACCCTAAACCTGTTTGAGTGCATCTGTGGCTGCTGCTGAACAGGATGTGTACACACACACACACACACACACTTGCTCTGGGCATTTGAAATAAAGCCACCAAAAGCACTGCTCACAATTAACCATTTGGCTTTGTTCCGGTTTGTTTGTAAGGAGCCCTTGGAAGCTGGAAACAGAATCTGCTTCCAAGCAGCCATTTGATTTCAATAAAACCTCATTCAATGACTCAGGCTGCTTATGGGCCCTAAATCAGATGTGTTTCTGCACAGAGAAAAACAAATCATTTTTCCAATAGGCCTTCCTTGCTCATACACTCAAAAGGGTGCATTCAACAGCCTGCAGATAATGTAACAAGGTTCTCTTGTTCACTGACATTTTTGACAAACATTGCCATTATGATTTCAGTAGCCACAGAGTAATATAAATATAATTTTTAAGCAATGCTTTTGACAGCCACAATTATAAATGTCAGCTAACTGCTCTGCTAACGCGTGTGCTCCGTTCGTGTTTATGTTTTTCAGGATGAATAAATATAAACCAATTCCCAAACTCTCCACTCAGTCTCCTGTCCATCATACCAACTTGAGGACCCAGCCCTCAGACAGACCCTTTGGGAAAGAAGACTTAAGTCGGATTTCAAAAGATTCCCTAGAATCAGATTCAGAAAGCCTCCTTCAAGAGGTTAAGTTCCAGTCCGAGGTTGAGGACAAAAATATGGAGCCTGACAGCTTAGAGGAAGCAAGCCTCAGTGAGACAGAAGAGGAAGCCAACAGAAAAGCAGCCCATGGGGCCAGCAAGGAGGACGTGGGAGCCCGTGGTGGTGTGAATCACAGGTAAGGAATGGGCCTGGGCAAGGCATGTTGTTTACTCATTTCCAGTACCTTACCAGGTGAGACAGGGTGGGCTGCCGTAGTGAGCAATGTGCAAAAGCCATCTCCAAGCAACTAAGGGATGAGGGCCTTGATTTCACCACATTTTCCCCGCCTCTTCTTCCTCCTTCTCCTGCTCCTCCACTTCCTTCTCCTTTCCCTCTTCCTGCTCCTCTCTCTCCCCTTCCTTCTCCTCCTCTTCCACCCCTTCCTTGCCCACTTCTCCTCTTTCTCCTCTTTTTTTATTTTTGCTTTTTCTGTGTGACAGAGTTTCCCTGTGTGACAGCCCTGACTGTCCTGTCACTTTGTAGACCAAGCTAGCCCTGAACTCATATAGATCCGCCTGCCTCAGTCTCCACAGTGCTGGGATTAAAGGCTTGTGCCACCAATGTCCCACCCCCCTTCTCTTTAATTAAGCAATGCTGTCATTATTAACTGGGTGTAGGAGCCTCAAGAACATACCTAGAGTACCAGGAGACCCTTCTGTAGGTCACCAGGCATAACTACCAGTCTTAGTAACTCTTCTTGTTACTGTGACAAACTACCTGGCAGAGGAAGAAGGATTCATTATTTCCCTGGTCCCACAGTCTGTCACGGTGGGAGAGAGACAGTGTGGTCTGCGATGAAGGATGCTCAGGCTGCAGCTTCATACATAAAACCAACAGAAGGCAGAGTCCAGTGGGCCCTGAAGTGGGTGTTACCATGGAGGCCAGTTTGCAAAGACCTGCTTCTCCTAAGTTAGACCACATTTGCAGTGGTTCCACAACCTCCCAAAATAGAGCTGCTGGCTATGGATCGTCTCAAAAGACAATGATGGAGAGGTCTCTGAGAGCCAAAATTAGCCCCTCGTCCTGAGCCTTTTCTTTTTTCCTCTCCTTCATTTCACTGGAGATATAAAGTTAAATGAAACTTGTCTTCATATTGGGGAGTCTCAAAAAATCAGAAAAAATGATCACAGTTGTCACCGACAGGCTGAACATGGTTGCATTTGTTTGTTTTTGTTTTTTACTCTTTTATTCTTTTGCTCTTTGGGGGCCTGCCACCCAGCTCCCAAATAAATCACTCAGAGTCTTACTCTTTCTTATGAATGCCTGGCCTTAGCTTGGCTTGTTTCTAGCCAGCTTTTCTTTTCTTTTCTTTTTTCAAGACAGGTTTTCTCTGTGGCTTTGGAGGCTGTCTTGGAACTAGCTCTGTAGACCAGGCTGGTCTCAAACTCAGAGAGATCCACCTGCCTCTGCCTCCTGAGTGCTGGGACTAAAGGCATGCTTCACCACCGCCTGGCTCTAGCCAGCTTTTCTTAACTTAAATTATCCCGTTACCTTTTGCCCATGGGCTTTTTTACCTTTCTGTATTTCTGTATTTCTTCATTCTCTGCATCTTGCTGTGTAGCTGGGTGGCTGACCCCTGGAGTCCTCCCCCTTATCCTGCTCCTCAGTCTTGTCTCCTCCCAGATTTTACCTCCTCTTTATTCTCTCTGCTAGCCCTGTTTATCCTTACTCCTAACTAGCTGTTGGCCATTCAGCTCCTTATTAGGTCAATTGGGTGTTTTAGACAGGCACAGTGACACAGCTTCACAGAGTTAAACAAATACAACATAAAAGAATGCAATATGTCTTTGCATCATTAAATGCTCCACAGCATGAATGAGTGATTAAAATAATATTCTACAACATCTGAATGGAGAAAAGGGTTTAGGATGACTTTAGCTAAACATACTGGTTGAGTCAACTGAGGGCAGAGAGGAAAGCATGATGAACCAGTTTTCCTGGAAGCTGGTGCCTTTAAATTACAGAGGGGGTATTACCAACTGCAGGCGAAAGCTGCTGCTAATAATGACTATTCATCAGTATCAGGGCTGTAGAAATTTTTAAAGGCCATTTTAACTCAGTTCTTCATTGTAATTCTGGGAAGGTGTTGTGGTTTCTACATTAAAGTTGGGGAAAATGAAACTAACAGAAGAAAAAATTTGTCTAAGGTATTTGGTTTGAGGGCATTTTTTTCTTTTGTTATTAATGTCATGTTTTATTGTTTCTGTTTGTTTTATGCTACTATGGATCAAACTCAGAGCCTTGGGTATAATAGGCAAGCAACTCTGCCACTGAGTCAGACCCACACCTGTAAGCTTTTTGACTGTGAAAAATATCCATCCTCCCCCCCCACCGCACCCCGCCAAGAAAAATACAGGGGAAAAGATGACATAACCCTCAATGGCATATTTATATTAGATTATTTTAGAGTCATAATCATAAATATAATTTAATGAGTTCATTGTTGGGGCTAGAGAGATGGCTCCGTGATTAAGAATCTGTGCTGCTTTTAGAGTTCAGTTCCCAGCTCCCATAGCTCACTGCTGCCTATAACTCTAGCTCCAGGGAGCCTGATACCTGTGGCCTCCAAAGGTGCCTGCGTCTAACTGTACATACCTATACACAGATACACAGAGATACGCATGTCTAAAAAAGAAAAAGCATGTCTCCTTGTATCTTTCTCGTATCCTTTCCCCTTCTTCCTCCTCAGAAATGATCAAAAAATATACAGGTGTGGCTGTCGTTCTTTTCGTCACCTTTTTACTTGTTCATTTCTTTCAATGGTACCTGTAATTGGTGATGATATATGAACACACACATACCTCTATTCTCTTCGGTCGGTCAGCAATATGTCTTTGACATGTTCCTGCTGTGTTTTCCATTATCTCACAAATAAGCTACATTGTGTGGAAGTGGAGCCTACCCACTTCCTACTGTAAGTCACTCTCTCACTGCTGAGATCACACACTTGACAAGAGGCACCTTGAGGAGTGAAGAGTTGGTTGGCTCACAACTCCAGGGACATAGTCTATCATGGTGGCAAGGTCACAGCAGTAGGAGCCTGAGACTATGGCATCCATAGTCAGGAAGCAGGGGTGGGTAAAGGTTACCATTCCGCTCACTGTCCTTTTTCTTTGTCCAGCTGTTTGGATGGTTGTTCTCATGTCAGTTAACTTAGGAATCCCACACGGCTATGCCCAGAGGCTTGTCTCCTACTTGATTCTAGTTCCTGTCAAGCTGACAGCTGTCTATCATATCTACTGATGAATATATTTAGGTTGTTCCATTTCTTATTTCACACAAGTGTCTGTATGCATCCTTCTGTGGCTTTTTGGATATGCAAACTCTGTTAGGGTATCTGTATGCAGAAATGCAATCATAGAATCTTAGGAGAAGGAATGTGTGTACACGGGGAGTGGGTTCCCACGCCCCACAATTGCCCAGATATCTTAAACCTCTGCTCTCTGAGGAGGTAAAACATTCTACTTTTGGTAAATTTTAATTGCTTGTTGCTCCTTGTGACCTGCGTGTTTTTAGACAAAAAAAGGTCAATTTAGGGATAGTCTTCAGTGGCTGATTAATTTTACTTAACACAACAGCATATTGTTCTATACTCGAAATTGTGGACTTGTGTCATACTACACAGTATTCCAGTGTCTAGAGATGTTACAGTGTGATTAGCTAAGACCATGGCTAGACACCAGCATCCTGGCTGATTTGTTTTTATTATAAATGTTTATATATGAAAGAATTGACAGAGCTTGGTGACAGGTGAAGTACAGAAACAAAGGAAGCCACTGAGTAAGTGTAATAACAGTTACCATGGATAGAACTTCTCTCTTAAACCCATCATTGGACTACATGCTTTACATGTGTTACCTCTTGTGGGGTCCTGGAGGGTAGGTCCTACAGCCATCCATTGTCAGTGAGGTTTCAAGAAGTTCCCTTAATGTCCACTCGTTGTATCCAGTGAGTACTTGAGCAGAACACTCACAGAATCTACTAAAAAATCTATGTTTTCATCCTGGCTCTTGATGTGGGAGATCTGTAGTCTTCATGATACTGAATGGTAATAGTTTTACTTATAGAAATTCAGACATCAGGGACTGGAGAGATGGCTCAGAGGTTAAGGACACCGGCCGTTCTTCCAGAGATCTGGAATTCAATTCCCAGCAACCACATGGTGGCTCACAGCCATCTACAATGAGATCTGGTGCCCTCTTCTGGCCTGCAGGCAGACCTCTGTGTACATAATAAATAAATCTTAATAAATAAACCAATTTTTAAAAAAGAAATGAGGACATAAGAAAGTAAATCTTTCTGTTGTTGTTTCTCATGTTTTTCTTTTTGTATGTATGACTGCTTGTGCCTACATGTACCTATGTACATCAATGTGTGAAGTCTCCACAGAGGCCAGAAGAGGATGTCAGATCCCCTGGAACTGCCATTAGAGGTGGTTGTAAGCTGCCATGTGGGGCTGGGAATCTTATCCAAGTCCTTTACACGATCAGCAAGGGCTCTCAACCACTGGGTCATCTCTCCGACCCCCAAGTCTTCTGCACTGTGCCAAGTTTTCTTGCCTGACTCCACTAAATGACCTCATTTCCCCAGTTGTTAACTGCCGCCTCTTTTTATCCCATGCTTAGCAGGCACCATACTTTAATTTTGTTCAAACTGCCCAGGAATAATTTGACTACTACATAATACCTCTCAAAAAAGATTGTACTTCCAAAAGTCAAAATTATGGTTAGATGCTTCATCTTCTGGTTCAGGGGGCCTTTAGATAATTCTGTTTTCCTCCAATTGCCCTGCCTTGGCAATGTTTAATGATAGACTGTGAACTTCGGGGCAGGGTTAAAATGGACTACAATATACCTGTTACAATATAGTGCTCCACTCACTGGATGTAAAAGGACCAGTTCCACACTACAAAGGGAAACAGAACTGAAGGATTTGTCCAAACAATGTCTCAAAAATGCGATTCAAGTGTGGTCAGGTATTGATCTTTTCTCTGCCTCGTATTAGTTACACCGTCTTTTCGTATGTGTTCTGTGGCTCAAATCTAAGTAGTTATGAGGCATGATACAAATAAATTGATCTCAGGCTCTCGACATAAAATTGAAGCAGGCTTTCATTTCTGCAAGGTAGATGGCATTC